AGGAGGCCAATGGAGAGACCCAGTGGAGCTACTCTGAAGAGGTTCTTCATCAGAATCTTCCTCTTCCTGTTTGGAGCAGGGAACAAGAGTTATTAGGTTCGCTCCCTGCCTACCCATGCATCTTTCAAATGAAGCAGACCAGAACGTTAATTCCAGAGAGCAAAAATTATATGAATAAAGAGACTGGCTTGGTTTGTATTTAAGTATTAGAAATGTTGCTTGGCCAAGGCCAGGGCTAGACAACCTTGGCTCTTTTATGACTCGTGGACTTCAATTCCCAGAATTCCTGAGCCAGCATGGCTCAGCATGGAAACCTCTCCCTTTCCCCTCAGCACAGCTGACTCAGGAATTCTGGGAATTGAAGTCCACGAGTCATAAAAGAGCCAAGGTTGCCGACCCCTGGCCAAGGCTTTCCTCACATTAGAAACTGCAGATCCTTATTCCAGGTCCTAGTGCTCATTATCAGAAGAGGTGTAAATTACACTTTAACACAGTGTCTAACATGTTCTGAAATATAGGTTTGTTGTTCTCTGAGACTCTTTGGTAAAGACTAATTATCCTTAACCGATGTCCCAAAGGTGTTTTTTCAAAAGGGAACTGGACTTTCTTTCTTTTTTCTTGAACATGTTTTGCTTCTCATCCAAGAAGCTTCTTTATTTATTTATTTTATTTATGGGACTTATATAGCGCTTTAAGTGCAAGCACTCTCTATGCGGTGTACACCAGTAAGCAATGTATATATATATTTACATTGCTCCCAACAATCTGGGTCCTCATTTTACCTACCCCGGAAGGATGGAAGGCTGAGTCAACCTTGAGCCGGTGAGATTTGAACCGCTGACCTGCTGAACACAGTCAGCTAAAGTGGCCTGCAGTACTGCACTCTAACTGCTGCGCCACCTCGGCTCATATTCTTCAGTTCTGACTGTCTTTAGTGGAATTCTAACTGAACGATGATCTTTCTCTGTACAAGGAACCACAATTATATCTAAACCCCAGTGGTCACCAACAGCATGGCTGTAATAATTTGGCAGAGATTGCTTTGATACTATGAACCAGTAATCCCAATCCCACTCTACTTGAACGTATGTCTACACAAGTCCCATGGGATTTCTTTCCTGAAGAACAAGTGGACTAACGAGAGCCTCAGGCATAAAACAAAAGCTAATGGACAACTTGAAGAGGGCCTACAAGAAACATCGCCTGGTGTGGTGGTGCATTTTTTCACTCAACCCTCATGAGACTTACAATAGTTGTAATCAAAGATGGCGTTGATAGAAGCTGCTTTATAATTCTGTATCTTTCATAAAGAGGCTTCATCAAACTCCTGTCTTGCTGGCTAACCTAGAAAGAAAAAGCAAGGAGCACCAGGTTGGCTGGCTCTGAAGAATCATCTGGAATTTCTTCTTCGAAGTCACAATCCATCAACAGAAGTCTCCATCTGGATTTTTAAATTCCAACATGAGGAAGGTGAGGCACAAAACAAAGTGATACTTCTATATGGATGGGATACCACTTGTCCTTGTTGTAATGTTGTTCTACAGTAGTGGCCAAAATTGTGGAAAGGGAGCCCAGCAGAGATGATCTGGCCCGGTGAAGGGGGTGGGCAATGGGGGGTTGGTAGGCAGTGCATCCTTCCGGAACGAGCTTGCCCTCCCCAATCCGATCTGCCTGTGAAAGGTTCGTCAATTTTAGAGGCCTCTGCCTCAAATTGTCAGAAACTGCCTTCTGGAATGTTCCTACAGGCAGTCTGGGCCTCTGTAAGTCTCAAAATGGCGGCCGGGAGGTGATTCTTTTGGGAAAAGTGTACAGTAGAAATGCCACCTTTGGTTAAGTTTCCACCCTTTTTTCTTCCAATTTCTTTATAACTGTAGCCTTGTTCACTTCATAATACTGTTTTACATCGCTTTCTGGGCAACCAGTCAACTCTTTGCACCATGACTTTAATTTTATTACGTTTTATAAGCTCACTAAATGAAAGAACAAAAAAAAACCCAACCAAATTGATAGAGATCACATAACACACTGACAAATGTCCTCCTCTCAGCTTCAATACAGGACATCAATCACTGAATCCTACTGTGATCCAATCGGCTCATGGCCAAAACAAGATGACACCTGATTGGGTCTCTAAACACTCATGCTTTTTGGCTACCATCAGACGAAGGAAAGCTACCTGAGATCAACCTAAGCGAGTTGTGCTTCCTTTTTCTGGTTATTTGGCTATAACTTTTCATAGAATACAGTACAGATAATTGAATAAACTATGTTGCGTTACGTTCTTGATTAAATTATCTTTCCATTGATATATAATTTTATGGCACTACTCCAAAAAAATACACTTTTCCCAAAAGGTTTCCACAATTTTGGCCACTACTGTATACTTCTGTAAAGAAACAGTTTGTCAGAACTGACTCTGTATTGCCCTTGCACACTATAGGGTTTTTTGTTCTCCAAAAATTTAAAAAGATAAGACATAGCTTTGTGATTTTTAATACCTTGTGTTAGAGAAGCACCACTTCCAATCAGAAGTTGGATTGTGGTGCTCCACCATTCCTTAGCAGCCAACTGGCACACTGTAATTCACATTCCCTCCCTAGTCTTTGCCTCTGGCAACTGCAAAACCTCTTATAACCAAATCTGGGTCATGCAACATTAAGACTGGCAGACCTTGGTCATTCCAGGCAAATCCCTTGCTGTCTATACTCTGTGAACTTAGGGCACGATTTGCTACCACCTCAACATTTCAGGGAAGAATAAAGAAAGTGCTACAGGGGTGGAACCTCCAGTAAGATGAATAATACATGGATGCCATCTTTATTTAGTTCATGGCATCTCCTTAGAACTGTCGAAAGAGATTTCAAAACAGCCCTCCTCTCTTATAGCAATAGAAACAGCACTTAAGACTTATATACCACTTCACAGTGCTTTACAGCCCTCTCGTAATGGTTTATAGAGTCAGCCTATCGCCCCCAACAATCTGGGTGCTCATTTCACCGACCTCGGAAGGATGGAAGGCTGAGTCAACCTTGAGCCAGTCAGGATCAAACTGCCGAACTGCTGGCAACTGGCTGTCAGCAGAAGTAGCCTGCAGTACTGCATTCTAACCTCTGTGCTGCCACGAGGGCTCTTAGAAATTTTATATTCAGAGCACCAGCTTGGCTGTTCTATGCGGAAAAAAAATGGCCTTGGAATTGAGGTATTGATCTAGGCCTCAAAGGGTTAAAACTGAATAGTTCTAATATTCCTAGACCTGGGGTAGGCAATCTCGGCTCTTTTTATGACTCATGGACTTCAACTCCCAGAATTCCTGAGTCAGCTATGCTGACTCAGGAATTCTGGGAGTTGAAGTCCATGAGTCATAAAAGAGCCGAGGCTGCCTACCCCTGTGGTAGGCCCATCAGTGGTGAGGTCCTTGAGCTAATTCAGCTCTCTGTGCATTGCCCCTGGACCGCCTGTTTGTACAGACCCTTGATCTTCAACCACAACTCCTTGCCCACCATCTGGGGCAGGGGTAGGCAACCTTGGCTCTTTTAGGACTTGTGGACTTCAACTCCCAGAATTCCTGAGCCAGCATGGCTCAGCTTGGAAACCTCTCGCTTTCCCCCCAGCATAGCTGACTCAGTAATTCTGGGAGTTGAAGTCCATGAGTCATAAAAGAGCCGAGGTTGCCTACCCCTGTCCTAGACAAATGTGCCAAATGCACAAAATCTTGCACATTTCTAATGTTCAGCTTAGTTCTTAACTCAAAGATGCGTCACATATTAAAATATATTTTGCAGGGAAATATACATATATTGAGAAAAAATTCGGTAAGGGTATATTTAAATATTCAGGTGCATTTTTCTGTTTGAGAACACCTGTATATTAAGGTAGAAATGGACTTATCAGTAAAGATACACCAATGGGACACAGACCCAAACCAGACGGGCATGTCCTTCTTGTCTGTCAGCCCTCAACTATAACCCATCGTCAGTGGAGAACATAGAAAATACGCATTGAGGGCTGTCACACTAAGACACACGAGCCCAAGTATTGATAAAGAAACAAGCTGTGCTAGAGAACCCATAAAAGGTCAAAACAATATTGCAGAAGAAGACAGTCAATAAGCTCAGATCCAGTAGACAAGAAACAGAGAAGAGGAAGAGCTAAGCTGGTTTAATAAAAGGAAAAGAAAAAAAACCACGTAAGCCTTTGCCTTATAGGTGAGACGCCTTCCAGAGAAGCCTTCAGTGTGGTTTCCAGCAGGTGAAAAACTTGGTCAAATTGACCTTCCCTCCTCTCTCCCTTTGTTTTTCCTTCCTTTCTTAATTGCGCAACACTTTGGATGTCAGGTCCAAAAGCTGCTTCAAGGCGCAGGGGACCGTGAAGCAGCATCTGCCTGCAACGTCTCAAAGCCCATCTTGTTTGCTCAGTGGGATGAGAAGCATCTTTCTAGACTAGCAACAATATTGAGGACTTAGCTAGGAATGGGAGGAAGCGGATGGAAGGAAAGGATGGGAATTCTGGTGTTGGATGAACGGTTGTGAATATGTCTCAATGGTGAAAGAGGGAGAACAGGCAAGGCAAGGCAAGGCGAGCCAACCCAACGTCTTTCAGACTAGTTTGTTCCACCTCTTCACATCAAGTGGCAGTTTCTGCTTGACCTTGGCTAACTTTGAAAGATAAGTTGAACCTGGTTAGGACTTGGATGGAGACCACCAGGAAACATCAGCGTATTGACTAAAGGAGGAAAAATCCCAGAAGGTGGCAATGGCCAAGCACTTCGATATTATTTTCAATGAAAGCTCAGGCTGTGCTTTGATTTGTATAATTCATGAATTAATTAATTTAACTGTTTTCTAGCCCTTTCCTCTGATCCATCAGTGGATGTGTTGGTACACTGATTAGTGTGATGGGATATATCAACTGCGCATTTTTTTTTAAACTAGCTGGGGGGAAAATGTACCAATATCCAGTGCTCTTGTGCTTGTGAAACACAACGTGTGTCTTCAAGAATGTGATGAGATTAAGTAGAATTGACCACTCAGTAAAACACTCTTATGTCTTGAGACCAAGGAAGGGTACTTTCCATGTTGCTGTGCTTGCCCTCTGGAGTAGCATACCCCCCCCCAAGATCCATATGACTCTTACGCTGGTGAAGTTCAGAACATTTCTCACCATCATCTGGAGCTGGGTAGCTTTTAAATTGTGAGATAGATGTAGGAAAGAGGTAAATGAAAAAGGGGAGGGATAGATAGACGAAAGACAGATGTTAGAGATGTTAGAGAGATGATAGAGAGAAGAAGGGATGATAGATAAGAAGGTAGAGTTAGAGACAGATATTCTAGAGCAGTGGTGGCGAACCTATGGCACAGGTGCCAGAGGCAGCACTCAGAGCCCTCTCTGTGGGCACACGTGCTGTTGCCCCAGCCTCACCTCCCCCCGTGACCCCCTCCTCTCCAGCAGCCCCCCTGAAGGAGAGTCGCCCCCGAGCGTGGCCCACGCAGAGCAGCGCAGCCAAGGACATGGCAGCCAGGTAGCGTAGACAAGACTCTGTCCTCACACCCCATCATGCACAGCTGATGCTGCAGAGCACGGGCAGAGCGCGTGACCGCCATAGCGCTGCTGGGCTGCCTGGACGATCTGCGGGGGGCCCTGGAGGCGGTAAGTGGTCCTGTGGGCAGGCGGGGTGGGGGATGGGGGGCAGAGCAGGGGCGGAGCAGAGGGTGGAGCATGGGCGGGGCCAGCTTTTGGGCACTCGGTCTCTAAAAGGTTCGCCATCACTGTGCTAGAGCTAGACATAGCTCAAGAAGCTATGGAACATGAGATGGTGGAAGGCTGCTTGAAGTACTGGACCTAGTTCAAACTGACCTTGGCAGGTGGGCTGGGGAAGCTCAGAAGCCATCTCCTGTTGAAAATTCTTTGTAATGGCTAACCTGAAGTTGATCTCTCTCTTTCTAAGAAATACTTACAGGCCGTCCATGAATACTTTCAAAATAGAGGAGGCATTTCTGGAGACTGAGTTTTTCCAAAGCCATTTGCTTTTTTGTCATAGCCTAATTAAAAAAAGAACGGTTTATAGAAAAATTAACAATCGAGTGTTATCTGAGGGAGGGAAATGGGGGGGGACAAAATCATATGAATGAACTGGCGCGGGTCTTAAAAGTTACAGGCTGCATTTTTTTTACTGCAGAATTTGAATGATGCTTCGACTGCTTTAAAGCTGGCTGACTCAAGGTAACTATGACCAACCAACTAAGCACCTACCTGTGAAAGGCATCTCACTCATCAGCATCTTTGCACAACTATCAGCGAGCTCTATATTTTGGTTCTGCAAGCTTCGTTTTCTCCTTGAACCGGATTGGCTATTTTTTGCAAGATCCCTTTAGGTCAGTGGTTCTCAACCTTTTTAATGCCGCGACCCCCCCAACCGGTCATAAGTCGAGGACTACTCAACCAGTCGTAAGTCCAGGACTACTCAACTGGTGCAGCACCGTTTGCAGAATGGGACTTTTGGTGGGCTCAGCAGGGCAGAGACAGCCTGGACAATCCCTATTGGCTTTTGAAAGCCAATAGAATTAGACTCTATTCAAGAGAGTCTATTCTATTGGCTTTCAAAAGCCAATAGAATAAAAGGGAGGAGCACAGCTAAGGAAAAGGGGGAAAAATGGCAAACTGCGTTGTTTGGCGACCCGCCATGAAATGGTCGTTCGACCCCAAATGGGGTCCCGACCCACAGGTTGAGAACCGCTGCTTTAGGTTCATGGAACTGGGCTGACTTAGAAGTGCTAATTACCTTTGCCCTTTGGGTTTGTCACAGACCAAAAAACGTTATCTAAACTGAAAGTAATTTTAATTGCCTGCAAGGTTAAATTTGAAGACTTACGTGAATGCTTCTATGTGAATTGACTACACAAAGAAGTAAAGAAGTAAGGTTGGGGGTGACCTAGACCAGAATTCCCCAACCTTTTGGCTTTGTGGACTGGTGGGGGAGGAGAGGGAATGGTTCCGTGTGAGTGGCTGGCAAGCGTGCCCGTGCACAGCTCCATTTGCACAAGTGGAAGGTACGCATGTCTTGTTGTGATTCCATGCCAGTCTGTGATCCCGGCAGTTGAGTCTGGGGAATCAGAGGAGGAGGAGGAGGAAGGGCATGGAGATCCATCAGAGTCGGAGGGAGGCTCTGATGAGCTGCAGGACTTACAAACTAATAAAGACAGCTGTGCTAGGAAGCTGAGTCGGACTTGGAGGAAGCACAACTGGAAGACCTCAGAGAGGCTCGTAAACATAGGCAGGTCACACGAGTAAGACAGAGGAAGGCAATGGGGTGATTCCAGGGAAGGAGGAGAAAGCAGTGAGAAGCCACGCCTTGGGGGCTGTGTAACAAAAAGGGAATGTGTGGGCAGGGCTGGTTGCTGGAGGCAACTGTTTGCAAAGAACTTCAGAGTCAAGAGATCATGGTCTGTTTATTTTGCTTGTGAGTTATATCCTGTTTGACTTGTGCTCCGTATTGCTTTTGGACAAGGTCTCCATTGGAAAAGTGTTCTGTTGCCTTGGTTTTTCTGGGACAATTTTCAGGTCTGTAACTCAAATAAAAAGGGTTTATTTTCCAGTCTACTGTTAAAAGAGGGGTTGTCTTTGTGAAGTAACAAGGATGTACGTAGGCTGGGACAGAACACGTCTGCCGCTTGCATAAATGGAGCATGCACACGTCCTTGCCAGCTGCTTGCGCAAGTGGGGATGTGAGTGCACATTTGCCTGCTGCTTCAGCAGCCCAGCAGCCTCAGGGCCTGGGGTTTGGGGATGCCTGACCTAGGCAACTAGCTCAATTAATGGCTTGAGATGAAGACCTTTGCTCACTCTTTGAGCTCCAATGTCCTCTCCCATTCCACATAACAGGCATGACTCTGATTTGAAAAGCACTCCAGGAGAGGCCAGTGCTGTCCCACATTATGTAGCATCTTGCCACAAATGACCTATTCATCTGTTTACGCAGAGCATACAACATCATTTTGACCTCATCATGGCTTCTACCAGAAACCAAAGCGTTTCTATCTAAACCTCAGAATCTTTAGATACAGCTTTGGATGCCAAACAGGCTACAAGATGGTCATTTGAAACCAATTGTGTTGATGTAAAACATCACAGCTGCCACATTTGTACCAGGTGACAATAATATATGTTTATACCCTAGTGCCAAAGACCACTACTACACAGATTTTCTGCACAGGATGTTTCAAGTGACTTGTACCTCTTTAGTTCTTCACTCATGTGAAGCTCGTGAATAAACACGGGGTCTGCAAGTCAGTGTGGAAGGAAGCTCATGAAGGTGATAGGGCAGTGGAAGCAAACCTATGGCACGTGTGCCAGAGGCGACACTCAGAGCCCTCTCTCTGGGCACGTGCACCATCGCCCCAGCACTGCCTCCCCCCGCAGCCCCCTCCTCACCAGCAGCCCCCCGGAGGAGAGTGCCCCCAGGTGCAGCTCACACAGAACAGCGCAGCCAAGGACATGGCAACCAGACAGCAGGGACAAGACTCCGCCCTCACACCCCATCACGTGCAGATGCTACTGCGGGGCATGGGCAGAGGGCATGGCCACCATGGTGCTGGGCCACCTGGGTGATCTGCGGCAGGCCGTGGAGGCGGTTGATGGTCCGCGGGGCAGGGACGGTGGGGGCGGGAGGGTTTGGGCACTCGGTCTTTAAAAGGTTCGCCATCACTGTGATAGGATATGACAGAAGCTATCAGGCACATGTCAAGCAAGTCAGGAGTTAAACCAGGTTTGCTGAACCTGGCTGGTTTAGCAAATCTAGATGTTATGCAAGGACTGGGTACCTTGATGTTCTCAGGGAGACCAAGCTGCTGTCGCTTCTCTTTCAGTTGCTTCTTCACCACTTCCATGGTTTCCTCCACGGTAGGACTGGTGGGAGAATCTGCTGAATCCAGCTTCACAGCCTCTTTGGAGCCCTCCTGTTGAAAGTTCCTTTGGCTTCGTTTGAGGGAGAAGCTCTGTTCTTCTGACATTTTGAGTTTCAGCTCTGTGAGAGAAGTCCACACAATACCTGCAATCTATAGCTTCTCACAGCACCCTTTCGTTAATCTGGGGTGCTCACCTAGGGATCTGAGACACTTCATGGGCCACAAAGTCAAAAGAAATGTTTCGGATGAGGTAGCAAGTCAAAACTAAACTGCTTATTTTGGTTGCCCTCAAGAATAGAGAGGAGACCGTTGTGGTCTCTCGTGAACTTGCCTCTTGTTTATGTCAACTTGTCCCTATATAACGTAACCTCGGGAAAATAAGGCAAAAGGATTAGGAATGCCTAGAAAATGTATTTATGGTATTGATACCTATAACTTTACAAACCACATGCTTCTCATCTATTATATTTAAGCCAATTTTGCATGGCTGCCAGTCACTCAATTCCATTTTCTCTGTTATTGGGGGGAGGAGGAATCATGCACAGTGCCTTGATGGAGTTGGAGGGTAGGAAAAGTCTAATCCTTCCCATAGTCCCTTTCTTTCTCCACACAATGTACATCTATCAAGGGAAGAAGGCTTTGCTTAACCTTTATTCAGTTTGAGACATCAGATCAAAAGACTCAAGTCCATTAACCTAATAGAAGACATCATTTCATAGATGGTAGTGAAGGTTTTCCACCTCAACCACGGTTCATATCTGGGCAACATAATCATGCTGTCTACCTAGTGGTTTACAATATACATGAACAGGTCCATTGCCTTGGCCCTTGTCTTTCCTGTATTTAAACAATGCTGTTAAAGGCACAGAGAAAGCAAAAGAAAACTGTCCCAAACCAGACAGACACCATTATGAGCATCTCTTCTATCTCTTTATAGTTAGATTTCATGATCTCCAAGATTCCTTTTAACTCTATGATCAGATAAGCCAAACTCACTATGGATCATTAGAAGTCATGCGAGGCAACTGGAAAGAGAATGCACAAAAGTTCCCTTACACAACAGAAGCCACAGCCTGAAGCTGGGTGAGTTATGGACCTTATTGAGTTGATGACCACAATTAGACCACTGGTGTCAAACTTGCCGCATCATGTGACGTGTTATGATGTATCGCGACTTTTTTGCATTGCTGGAACTGGGGTGGGCACGACCTCCCCATGATGCAACCGGCCCGCAGACTGGCAGTTTGACACCCCTAACTTAGACTTATATACCACTTCACGGTGCTTTACAGCCCTCTCTAAGGAGTTTAGAGAGTCAGCCTATTGCTCCCAACAATCTGGGTTCTCATTTTACCCATCTTGAAAGGATGGAAGGCTGAGTCAACCTTGAGCCAGTGAGACTTGAACTGCTGAACTGCTGGCAGACAGCAGTCAGCAGAAGTAGCATGCAGTACTGCATTCTAACCACTCCACTACCACAGCTCAAATGGGAGTTTGGGAAAACCAGAACTTGCTGGGTTTCTTGCACACTGTTATTTTATGTGGATTGAAATATCTTGCTGTGTTTTCTCCATGTACTGGGGAGCAACAGAGCAAAACTTTTGAGGGAGAGCAGAGAGGCAAATGCAAGACATCAAAGAAGGGAATCTGGGCTCTGGACAAGGCTCCTAGAGCAATGAGGGATACGGACAGAACGGTTCTGGCTTCTGGTTTGCGATCATGACACTGGCGGACGTGTGGAGCAATCGGTCTCTCCGCCATCTGGTTTTCTCCCGCCGGGGGACCCTGAAAAGGGTCGAAAGTCGCCCTGGAGGGGCAACAAGCGTGAAGAGGACCTCTGAGTGATCGCGGAAGGGCACCAGCCCTCCTGATTGATCCTGGGCAGCTCTTCAGACTGACGGGGAAAAGATCGGCCATTAACATGGCCCATCACTAAGCCGCTACCAGCCAAGGCCAAAATCACTAACAAGCACTTTTGAAAGCACCGCAGAAGAATTGGGTGAGATCTTACCTTCTTTGTATCCCAACTATTTTCCTGTAAAAAGCCTCTTGAAATTTCTTCCCCCTCTGAGGAAAGAGGGAAGGGGACGTCTTTCCCCCACCCTCTAAAATGGCGGCGTCTGACTACTTAGGGGAAATAAAGCCCTGAAAAAAGAACTGTTCTTTGCTTCGGTTTTAATGCTATGGGCAGACCCTGGCTACTTCTGCAATTTTATCCAAACCAGGGCCCTCTTATCTGTTCATCACAAGTTATTCATGCAATCGTAAACAGACCCTTGGCAGCTTGCAACATAGAACAGAACAATGCATTGCAATAAAAATCAAAAATACAAAATACAAAAACTTGCAACTCCCAAACCTCCTCTGGAAACACACCATTTTCACCTGCCAATCCAACTTCCTGCATAAGAGGGAGTTTTATGAAGTCCTAGGAGAGATCCCACACAAAACGTTGGAGAATTGTGGTTGCCATTTTTTCCTAAATCCAAACCTAATAGTCAACTCTGTAAACCACTAATTTGATAGCTAAATAATACACAATGCCCAGTAATTTTTTTTTTCATTTTCTTTTTGGTGTGGAGCAGAGGGAAAGGCAAAGATGTAATTATTCCTGATTGAAGGCTATTTCAGTATTCCCCCCCCCCCTTCTCTCAGTGGCCTCAGCAGGGTAGAGGCAATTTAGTAACTCAGCTTCCAGCTTTGCTCATTCATTCTCTTCCTTGCATTTATCTGTTTTGCACAGGCCTTTGTAATCAAATGGAAGCAGTAATCGTATGGATCAAATTACTTGACTTTTTAAAAAAAAATTTAAAATGTCATTAAAAAGTCACACTGGAGCCTCCAAGTGGACGTTATCACAAAAATGTACGACACCTGTCATCTGGTAGAAATCTGACACTTGGGACATATTGAATGGGGAAATAATAGTTTCTAAAGTTCATTTGGTATCCTAAGATTAAGCTTGGCATTTTAGGATGGGTGCATGAAAGGCATCCACACAATGAATCTATTAGCTCTGCAGTAGCTCCGTCGGTGGAGAGCCGGGCTGATCCAGGAAAGGGCTAGGATTTCTTGGGAAAGCAACAGAAACCAGCATTGCTGGGTTTACACAAAACCAGACCTTGCTGGTTACATCTCCAAGAAAGTGTGAGTGTAAAGGGAACTTCATTCTTCTCTATATATATAGGGGGCAAGGTGGAAAAAAAATAGAATTTTCCATGGATCCTTTAGAGTGAGGTAGGATTTGGTTTTCCCAGTTGCAATGGTTTTCCCAGTTGCAATGTATGGCTGTGAAAGTTGGACCATAAGAAAGGCTGCGCACCAAAGAATTGAGGTCTTTGAACTATGGTGCTGGAGAACACTCCTGTGAGTCCCCTGGACTGCAAGGTGATCAAACTGGTCAGTCCTAGAGGAGATCAATCCTGACTGCTCTTTAGAAGGTCAGATCCTGAAGTTGAAACTCAAGTACTTTGGCCACCTAATGAGAAGGAAGGACTCACTGGAGAAGAGTCTAATGCTGGGAAAGATGGAGGGCAAGAGAAGAAGGGGACGACAGAGAATGAGGTGGCTGGATGGAGTCACTGCAGCAGTAGGTGTGAGCTTAAAGGGACTCCAGAAGATGGTAGAGGACAGGAAGGCCTGGAGGAACGTTGTCCATGGGGTCGCGATGGGTCAGACACGACTTCACAACTAACAACAAAGATTTGTGGGGAATCAGTTGTAGCTAGCAAGGAGGTTCTCCCAGAAATCCTTCACATAGGTAAGGAATGCCTTTCTGCCCTGTTAGAGCTCAACTGGCTTTTCTTCCAGTATGAGGGATGGCGTGGAGAACACAAGTGCCTCAGGAAAGATTCTTCCCCTTTTCCCATCCATTAGGCTGGATAGCAAATACCCATAGCTTCTGGTACTGTGAGAAACAGGCTAGACACAGTGACGATATGTACCTTTTAGCTGTTTACGACTTTTGGCCAGGTCATTCATCCATTTCATTACCTCAGGATTTGATATTTTGTCAGCATGAGAAGGCTGTGCAGAAAAGGAGGGAAAAGAGAAACCATACGAAAGTGGATTGCAATGTTACTCTTATCAACACCAATATTTAAATCACACGTATCCTTGCCAAGATACAGCTTGGTGTTATTAGTCTAGAGCAGGGGTAGGCAACCTTGGCTCTTTTATGACTCATGGACTTCAACTCCCAGAATTCCTGAGCCAGCATGGCTCAGCTTGGAAACCTCTCCCTTTCCCCTCAGCGTGGCTAGCTCAGGAATTCTGGGAGTTGAAGTCCACGCGTCATAAAAGAGTCAAGGTTGCCTACCCCTCGTCTAGAGAAGTGGTTCTCAACCTTTTTTTTTACCACTTTAAATACATTTTGTGGCCACAGACCATGGCCACAGGCCCCCAAGACTTAAGATTTAAATCATATCATTTCTTCAAGCCTTTGTGGGGGGGCCCATGATGACATTGCAGCCCCCTAGGAGTCCACAGACCACAGATTGAGAACCACTGGTCTAGAGAAGCCAGATCAACTTTCCAGGTAATGTTGGAGGATAATCTAGATCAGATCACAGCTGGACTGATCACCTCTTCTGAACCTGGGGTCCATCTAGACCAGGGGTAGGCAACCTTGGCTCTTTTATGATTCGTGGACTTCAATTCCCACAATTCCTGAGCCGAAATGGCTCAGCATGGAAACCTCTCCCTTTCTCCTCAACATGGCTGGCTCAAGAATTCTGGGAGTTGAAGTCCACGAGTCATAAAAGAGCCAAGGTTGCCTACCCCTGGTCTAGACATTCTAAGGGCTGAAGAACGGCTGGGTGAAGACCCGTTTCTCTGCCAAGAGCTACAGTCCTCTCCTATCAAGGAGGCCTGGCCTGGGGGTGGTGGAATTAAAGAGAAACGTGTTTTCCTCTCTCTGCCGTGCCTCTTCTCTTCCTTTCCTTCCTTTTCTCTCTCACTTGCATGTATTTATCATATCTATGTAGCTGCCCATCTCACAGCACAGACAGTTTCTATATTTGTCCCTGTATATCACCTTAAAATCATAGAATCCTAGGGCTGGAGGTCTTCTAGTCCAAGACAAGAGTCTTTATTCCACCCTGGACAAATGGTTGTCCAATCTTTTCTTGAAAACCTACAAGAAGCTACAGGTAGCTTTGTCATGTTCACAGCCCAGGAATGAGACCAACCTCAGTAGCCTTTAGCACAGACATGTCAAACACAAGGCCCGGGGGCCGGATGCGGCCCGCTAAATGGTTTCATGCAGCCCGCGAAGCCATCCTGGAAACAGTGAGGGAATCGTCCCCACTGCCTTGGCCCTGGCCCAGGCTGGCCGAGAGCCAATGCACAATTTTGTGGTGGCCATCTATGCTGAAGTGCATTCAGTCTTAGCTCCACGAGGCTGTCTAGAAACAGCGAGGAACCAGCCCCCGCTGTGTCAGTCCCACCCCCTGGGTGCATGCTGGGGAGATGTCACCCTTTGTGAGGAATGAAGAAATGGACCATGCCTTGGCACTTGCCCCGGTCCCACCCCCTTCTGCCAGAGACCCTCAGATCTGTCCCACTCCTGCCCAGGCCCCCACAGGCCCCCTTGACGCGAACGATGTAGAGCTGGCCATGCCCACCCAATAGGCCACACCCACTCCATCCACACCCACCCAGTGGGCTGCACCCACCCTGGCCACACCCACCCAGCCCCCCGAAGGCAACCACAATGCTGATGCGTCCCTCAATGAAATTGAGTTTGACACCCCTGCTTTAGCAGTATCAATGCTAAAGTATTTTTCTTCCTTGTTTAAATATGCCACACTAAGCCTAAGCCTGGGGTTGTTTTCCCCCCAAGCCCTGTTCAAAAATCTTTAGTCTTACTTTATCAGATGGGTTGATTCTGTCAGGATGTACTTTTCCCTTTAGTCCTGTGTAATGGCTGAAAACTAATTACTGGGGGGGTTGCCAGTCTCCATAGTAAGAAGATAGTCTGCTGTTTCCTAGTTTTGCTGGTAGCTGGTTGTTGCTGACTACTTTGTTTGGTGTAGTAAGATATGCTGATAATCTAGTCTTAGGCATTTATGACATCCTTGCTTAGCTAGCTAAGCCTTCGTGAGGTCACGTGCTTATGATAAGGTTACTCATAGCTTCCCTCTGGTCTCCCAGAGCTGACACACAAGCATGAGCCATATTTCCCACAGTAGGTACTCAGATAATCCAAAATGCCTTCACTTTAGCACCTGAGAACATCAAGAATGACTGAAGCCACTCTACGCTCTTTGGGACCCGCCAAGCCCAGATCTTCTCCCCGTCGTTGCATTTAGAAGCAACCTCTCAGTCCTTCGTGATCTGGGTATGGGGAAATCTGGCTGCTCCCTTAGCTCCTTACCCTGTAATTCTTCTCCTCCTCAAACTTCTCTTCATATTTCCTGATTCTCCTCTTTAGGCTTTGCAGGTGCTTCGTGAGTTGTACCACGGTCTGGGGCACTTTGCTGTCCTCACAGCTGCCTCTGGAAGAACTTCTTGGCCTGGGACATTCAAAATGATGAAAACGTCCATTTAGGGTACTATTCTACCAAACAAGGGCTCCAGCTACTCCAGAGTGCTATGATGACACAGGGAGATGGAAAAATAAAGAGGAAGAGAGAAGAAGAGAGCAGGGGAGAATTACAGAAGTGGAAACCTGGCCCTGCCCTTGTTTCCTTAAGGACTACAATAATCTCCGGAAGCCAGCGGGTGATTTTAATAGCAGGACCAGATAAATAGAATCACCCACAAAAGAATTACGCTGCAGTTAAAGACATAATTATGGCGGTCAGTTGAGGAACAGCCACCCCAGTCACAGGTTGAGCAGCCTATGTGAAATGCTCAAACGCTCCTCCACGTCCAGTTCTGGATTTGTCAAATGTATGATTATCAGCAGCTTCCTTTGGGCTGGCGATGCTGCCAAAATGCTGGAACACGGACGCTGTGCTGGACCAGTTATATAATCATCTGACCAGAGTATATACTTGAGAATTGTGTTGTTGTGTATAGCCTTTACAGGTTAATGTTGAATCATTATGAGAACTGTATGTTAGAATGTTTGGCATTTAAAGGGTTAAGTGCTGTCTCCTTAAGAGATGGCTTATGGGTAATGTAGTTTTAGCTGTTCAGTGAATCCTATGTTTAACAAGTCAGTGGGAGGGGCCACTAAGTTCATCACAGGGTATCCTGGCTATGTGCCAGCTTGTGAAAGAAGCCTTTGTGAAGAGAGACACGAGGTGATGTGTCCCATAAGTGCCATGGGATGAGTCTACCATCAGTTTTTCACCGTGATTGGTCCAAACAAGATATCTGCTTTAATCCTGACCTCAAACAGACAAACGCCAAAGAACGGGATAATATTAGGTCATTTATTCGTCAGGAATCTCAATCAATAACTTATAGTCAAGAAGAGTTCTTCTGATGAACATATCATGACCTTCTCCATTCTTTTGGGTGAAAACCTGATGGTAGCCCATGGCTCTTATGGGACACATCACCTCGTGTCTCTCTTTACAAAGGCTTCTTTCACAAGCTTAAGGAGACAGCGCTTAACCCTTTAAATGCCAAACATTCTAACATACAGTTCTCATAAGGATTCAACATTAACCCGTAAAGGCTATACACAATAACACAATTCTCAAGTATATACTCTGGACAGATGATTACATAACTGGTCCAGCACAGACACCATGGCCTGAACTGGCCCTGCTAATGATCCTCTTGTGGAGAGAAGAGCCCCAGAGACAATCCTGAAGGTAGAAACCCCAGCAAAGTTTTCACAAGCCTCACGGAGGGCACTTAAGAAGCCCCGGGATTTTTCTATGCTGGCCTTAGCTTTGATTAGCAAGACTAGGGAGATGCAAGATCTAAACCTATTATGATATAGTGCCTGTCCTTCATTGTGTATCATTGCATATTTTTGTTTTCCTGTCCCTTTGATTTTGCACACGGCTTAAAGCAGTGGTTCTCAACCTGTGGGTCGGGACCCCATTTGGGGTCAAACGACCATTTCACGGGGGTCGCCAAACAACACAGTCCGCCATTTTTCCCCCCTTTTCCTTAGCTGTGCTACTCCCTTTTATTCTATTGGCTTTTGAAAGCCAATAGAATAGACTCTCTTGAATAGAGTCTAATTCTATTGGCTTTCAAAAGCCAATAGGAATTGTCCAGGCTGTCTCTGCCCTGCTGAGGCTGCCAAAAGTCCCATTCTGCAAACGGTGCTGCACCAGTTGAGTAGTCCTCAACTTACGACCAGTTAAGTAGTCCTCAACTTACAACCGGTTGGGGGTCGCGGCATTAAAAAGGTTGAGAACCACTGGCTTAAAGTCTCCTCAATAAAACAGTTTATAAATTCTCAAAATAAAGTGTAAATATTTGGTTGATTATTAATTTTAAACAAACAGTTCTTTTGTCATGTATTATTTCTGTCCCTCGCATCTCACAAATAAAAACAAGAAAACCTTCCTGGCACCCTCTTTTTTCATTACTGGAGCCCTCCTTGTCTAAAACGTCTAGTTTCCTGTTCTCCTTTTTCACCCTGGGCTGGTTTGTGCTCCAGTGATTTAAAATAGAAGCCACGATGCTAACTCACCTTGTAAGGTAATGATAAGGACCATCCCTAAATCAACCCACACTGAAGGAATGCTTCCAGTGGAACAGCTTATTAGTTTTACTATTATTAAAAACCCAGAGGCAGTTTGCTCTCTTGAGTCAATGAATTCGTAACTGTTGACCGTTAGCTGATAAAAGGTTTTGAAGCTACCAAATAAGGGGCCCAAGCAGTTACTTTGGGGCAGCAGAATCCTTCCTACAAAACTCAGTGTAGCTTGAACAATTCGTCTCGTCAAGATTTGTAGCTGTGGGAGAAGAGGCTGGAGGCCTTCACCAAATCTGGGGCATCCCCATGGATGCCAATTTCCCAGGAAGAAGGAAGTTTCTGCTTGCCCCGAAGTAGTGCTTCCGGGAAAAAAAACAGTTTTGTCCTCAAAGGAAACCAAAGTTGTTTGTGCCTGGAAAATGGAAAGTGCAGCTTACATCATGAAAAGCTGAGCACTTGGTGGGGAAGGAGCCGATTCGGGGTCTAAGTTAAACCTCTGGCTTTGGCTGAAGATAGAGCAGCGAGGAGATAGCAGAGGATAATCTCCGTCCGTGATGTGATGCAGCAGCCTGCAAGTCCCTAAAGCATCCTGGTCTTCAGCTCCATTGTTGGCCTCCGTCTGGTCCTCTCGGTACTCCTGAGCAGGCTCTGAAAGGTCAAAGATAAAGAGGTTTCTCATGGCAAATTCAATATCAGCCCGTATTAAAAAGAGAACTCAACTGCCACACCCAGAAGCAAACACTTCCATAACAGACTAGAATAAAAATGTCCTCCGCCTGAAGATTAGGTCAGCTTGTTGTGATTCCTCGTCAGCCAGTGGACCCGGCAGCTGAGTCTGGGGAATCAGAGGAGGAGGAGGAGGGGCTGGAGGGACATCAGAGTCAGAAGAAGGCTTACAGTCTGATGAGGAGCCTGGCCCCTCCATTCGCACTCAGGCTGACACACAGCTGTGCTGGGAGTCCGAGTTGGACAGTGATGAATCACAGCTGGGAGACATCCAGGATGCACAAAAACGCCGGCAGGCAAAGAGAGTAGGACAGAGGAATGCAATGGGGCAGCTCCAAAGGCAAAGGAGAAGGCATTAGGAAGCCATGCCTTGGCTGCATAATAAAAGGGAAGGTGTGGGAGGTGCTGGTTGCCGAAGACAACCGTTCGTGTTAAGGAATCGAGTTTCAGTGAACTGTGTTTTGTTTGCCTTGGACATTTTACTCAGGACTGTAAATAATAAAAGGGGATTGCTTTTTTTTTTCTTGCGGTTCCAGCCTGCTTATTGGAAGAGGGGTTTCTCCCTGTGAGCTTAACAAGGACTCACACAGGCTGGGACAGAACACAGCTAAGGAGAGTAATTGATACCAGGGACAACCTGCAATTGACACAACTCTTGAAATCAGTTTGCAGAATGAGAATGCTTCTTAGCTGATTCACTTCTTGATGCCAAATACGCAGCCAGGCTAAACGCTGGAAGAAGATTTTGCCATATTCTGGGTTTTGCAAATGGAAGGTACTTTCTGGGAGGAAAAGCAATAAATAAATAATAACAATGTTTTTTTTTCCTATTTACACTATTATCAGAAGCAGCAGCAGATGGTATTTACTGGCTTTACATATTTTTAGGCTTAATTGTTCTCTCCTTTCTACTAATTTGTATTGCAGAGAAAGATACACAAGCCATTGTTATTAATACTGTCTTGTATGAATTCCCTTTCCTTTCCCTTCCTTCCTTTCCCATTTTGATTACTATTGCATCTTGTGTTGTTTACACACACACACACACACACACACACACAATAGAGGAATTTTGTGAAAGGTTTTGGAAAGACAGACCCATTTCTTTTGATCCAATCAAAATATCAAACGCATAATTATGAAGTATAAGAAAAGTGATGCCTGTAACCATTTAACCAAAAAGTATAAAAGCATGCTTTCACGATATTAAATTTGTACACCAGAATGATTTATTAAACCAAATAGCTAACATTTATGAAAGAAATACAAAAAAAAAAAAGCGACAAGCAACAGGGAGAAAGCAGAACTATTTAACTCGTTTTTTGCATCTGTCTTTACACAAAGGGAAAAAACAGACCAACCTATCAAAAATAGTGCCATAAAAAACAGTATAGAAACACAAGTTAAGATAGGCAAGAAAATGATGTGAGCACCTGTCCAGCATAGACGAGTTCAAATCGCCAGAACCAGATGGATTACACCCCAAGGTTCTCAAGGAACTGGCAGATGTGATCTCAGAACCACTGAACTATATTTTTCAAAGATCCTGGAGCACTGGGGAACTACCACTGGAAAAGAGCTGATGTAGTTCCCATCTTCAAAAAAGGAAAAAAAAATGGATCCAGGAAATTACAGACCTATCAGCCTGACCTCAATACCTGGGAAGATTCTGGAAAAGATAATCAAACAACGAATCAGCAAACACCTAGAGGCAAACAAAATCACTACTAAAAGCCAATATGGGTTTGTCAAAAACAGATCATGCCAGACAAACCTTATTGCATTCTTTGACCAAGTGACAAAATTAGTGGACCGGAGGAATGCTGTGGATATAATTTACTTGGACTTCAGTAAGGCATTTGATAAAGTAGATCAAAACCTACTACTCGATAAGATAGAAAAATGTGGGTTAGACAGCATCACCACCAGATGGATTCGTAGCTGGTTGACCGGACGTACTCAGCGTGTGGTCCTCAATGGAACCACATCTACATGGAAGGAAGTGTGTAGTGAGGTGCCACAGGGCTCTGTTCTAGGTTCAGTGCTCTTCAACATCTTTATCAATGATTTGGACGAGGGGATAGGTGGGGAACTCATCAAATTTGCGGATGACACCAAGCTGGCAGGAATAGCCAACACTCCAGAAGACAGGCTTAAGATACAGGAGGATCTGGACAGGCTTGAACACTGGGTACTATCTAACAAAATGAAATTCAACAGTGAAAAAAGCAAGGTTCTACATTTAGGCAAGAAAAACCAAATGTACAGGTATAGTATAGGGGGTACCTTGCTCAATAGTAGTAACTGTGAGAGGGATCTCGGAGTCCTAGTGGACAATCCCTTAAATATGAGCCAGCCGTGGGCTGCAGCTGCCAAAAAAGCCAACACAGTGCTGGGCTCCATTAACAGAGGGATAGAATCAAGATCAAGTGAAGTGTTAATACCACTTTACAAGGCCTTGGTAAGGCCACACTTGGAATACTGCATCCAGTTTTGGTCACCACGATGTAAAAAAGATGCTGAGACTCTAGAAAGAGTACAGAGAAGAGCAACAAAGAGGATTAGGGGACTGGAAGCTAAAACATATAAGGAACGGTTGCTGGAATTGGGTATGTCTAGTTTAACAAAGAGAAGGACGAGGGAAGACATGATAGCAGTGTTCCAATATCTCAGGGGCTGCCACAAAGAAGAGGGAGTCAAGCTATTCTCCAAAGCAAATGAAGGCAGGACAAGAAGCAACGGATGGAAACTAACCAAGGAGAGAAGCAACCTAGAACTAAAAGGGAAACTTCCTGACAGTGAGAACAATTAACCAGTGGAACAACCTGCCTCCAGAAGCAGTGAATGCTCCAACACTGGAAGTTTTTAAGAAGAGACTGGACAGCCATTTGTCCGAAATGGTATAGGGTTTCCTGCCTGAGCAGAGGGTTGGACTCGATGACCTCCAAGGTCCCTTCCAACTTTATTATTATTATTATTATTATTATTATTATTATTATTATTATTATTATTACTACTACTACTACTACTACTACTACTACTACTACTACTTCTACTATAGAAGTGGTGCTATCAATAAGTCTGATTAAATAAACTAAAATACTTAACATTTTGGCAGGCACAACAATGCATCTGACTTTGTTTTCATTCCCATGAGTTCTGAATTGACAGCTTCTGTCATTTATGATCATAGATCAATCAACTCTGCACCATTCACATAGAGCGAGTTGGGTTTAAATTAAAAAGTAAGTCAAGTTCTTTTCTTTTCCATAAACATTTTCCAGGACTTAAATGCCAAAAGAAAAACACTCCACTAGCAAATGGCAATCCTTAGGACTTCTGCCCAGACTTTTGTGAGTGCTCTTTTAAGATGTGAAGAATTGAATGATTGGTCTTTGGCACAGAAACATGGATGCTGCTGGCACTCAGTTCCTGCCATAACTAAATTAAGCATTGAAAGACAATTTTGTATGCAAGAGAATCAGCCCGGAAGTGATAATACATTTGCAAGAAGCCGTAATGTGTCCGTAAAAGGCCCAAATGCAAACCTTACAGCTGCTTACCCCTGCCCACAGAGATCCCCAACATTGCCAACTTGGCTCTTTAGTGGAAAAGGTAAAGAAAAGTCTGCAGAATCACCTAGAAAGGGATGCCCATCCATTCAGTGGGAATTAGGATGTCTTTCCAGAGCCTTGTAATTAAAGCACCAGGTCCCTAAATGTTAAGATACCCAGTGCCCAGCTTTTTATTGTTACTATTATTACTGCACCTGGCCTCAAAACTGAACATGATTTGGGGAGCCTTAAATATTTCCCTTCCCACAATTTTTTCTTGGCTGATATGCCCACTAAAAAGGAGATTTTTGTTGTTGTTAGTTGAGAAGTCGTGTTCGACCCATTGCAACCCCATGGACAAGGTTCCTCCAGGCCTTCCTGTCCTCTACCATCTTCTGGGGTCCCCTTAAGCTCAGGCCTACTGCTTCAGTGATTCCATCCAGCCACCTCATTCTCTGTCGTCCCTTTCTTCTATTGCCCTCAATCTTTCCCAGCATTAGGCTCTTCTCCAGGGAGTCCTTCCTTCTCATTAGGTGGCCAAAGTATTTGAGTTTCAAATTCAAGATCTGGCCTTCTAAAGAGCAGTCAGGGTTGATCTCCTCTAAGACTGACCAGTTTGATCGCCTTGCAGTCCAGGGGACTCGCAGGAGTCTTCTCCAGCACATAGTTCAAAGGCCTCCATTCTTTGGCGCTCAGCCTTTCTTAGGGTCCAACTTTCACAGAAGGGCTAATGACAGCAACAGGAGTAGAAATATTATGTTGGACCACTGCTTACCTTGAACATGTGGGATAAAATAGGATCTCCCAAATACAAAGGACAATGAAGAATGTGAGTGTCTTAATCTTTCTATGGAAGGTTGATCTAAGAAACATATTTGCACCTCACGGATGTATGTAGGTATGTAGGTATGTATGCATATGTATTTATCTGTTTATCTGTTTATTTGTTTCTTTAATTAAAATAAATTAATTTTATTAGGATGGAATTGAGCCTTTACAATATATACTTTTTTCTAAAGCCACCAGTATTTATATGATCCAAATAAAATAAGATATATTTTTTCTCTTATTATGCCCTAAACCATGATAGATCTTGTGTTCTGAAATAATGCCTGAATTCAGTCACCAATATACCACATCACATTCAAAGGGTTTCAGGGATCTTTAATGATGAACACCCAAGGGCATGCATTAACCGAAGATTTTCTTACCACCGCCACCGTCTCTGTCAATGTGCATGCTAGTTGAGGATGATGAAGAGGCTGGTTCTTCTGAAGCCACCAGCTGAGGACTGTCTTCCTAGTTTAGCAAAAATGCAGAAGAGAGAGGTCAGCTGCAGAGCTGCAGGACAAGGTTCCATTTCTGTTTGCTTCGTAGAGATATTCCATTTTTGGAAGTGATAAGACACAGTTTTCATTTCCCTTTGTGGGAAGTCAGCCTCCCCCCCCCCCGAAAAAGAAATATTCTTGGAAATATTTAAAAGGCAGAATATATTTCCCCAAAGGATTTTAAAAGCAGAAACCAACACACACACACACTGTCCCAAACAGAAATCAAGTCTGCAGAATTGCAGATGTGATAATCTTGTCAGAAAGAGTGGAATCAGGAAACTGGGATTAGGAAGAAAGATCCCTAGAATCAACACACCAAAAATCTAAGAGTCATCAGCCACAGCCACAGGGAAGCAGGATTGACCTTTGGGACATAATAGGATTAACCCACCACCATCAGAATACCAGAAAGGCACACTCAGACTCAGGTCAAAGTTCATGGCACAGGAACAACTCCAAAGAAAAGGCTCCAGAGGGTATAAAAACTCACTCCCTACATGTGCTCACTTTCTTTTCTTCCAGAGCCATCTTTCTGTCTGGCTCTCCTCTTCAATAAACTGCAACCTTCTTTCTAAAGCAGTCACCATGTTGTTTATCCCCGGCTTGGACTGAACCACGATAACATACACACGTGTCCTCTTTCTTTCTTAGCTTAAGGAAGATGCTGATACCATCTTAGGAAAAGCATCTTTGGGCTTCTGGTAGACTTACCTCAGCGAGCTTTTGCAGATGTTCAGCAGCATCATTTGGTGAAATGAATGCACTTTGATCTGACCTGCAAAATGGGGAGAAGCAGAGAATCACAGCCCCTTCAGCCAATCAGCATAACTGTGGCGAATCTCCATTAAATGAACCCATTTCTGGATTTTTGCATAGCTCTTTAAAAGCAGAAGTAGGAGAGAAAGGGATCCACTTAAAAAAAATCTCAGAGTGGAATGTTAGGCGATTAAAAAATGAAATGTCACGGTTCCGACAGATGAAACTCTTCAAAGACCTTCCAGGCGTTGTTTGCCTTAAAGAATCTTTATTTGAGAAGCATAGCATGGGCACTAACACAATCAAAGCCAAAAACTGGATTCCCCTCCCCTGAGCACATAGTATCAAAGCACAATTCCCTCCTTCAATTAACAGTCATAAGTCACATTCTCCAATTAGTTTGAAATGCAGGCTTTCCCTCCAGTTCTCCAGTCCACCAATTCTTATCATCTCTTATTTCAATAGCCTTGGTTCACACACTAGTTCCAGTATTATTATGTCTAGCTAAACTCTCATGCACATTCCTCCCCCCAGCATCATCTAAGTCTAGCTCTAACTCTAAGAGTAAAACATAAGAAGAAAAGGGTTGCATCTCCATCTGTTGTCAAAGCAAAAACATCCAATGTTAGCAGCGTTGACATGAATGTTATTTCCTAAACCTCTTTAAAGCATTTACAGTCCTTAAAAGTTTATAGAAATGTGTTCTCTGTAATTATTCCTTGTGTTGTTAATCTAATCTTAATAAACGTCCTGCTCTGTCATAATGTCCTATATGAACTAAAGAATGATGTAGGGAGATGTTTCCATAATTAAAAGCAGTACGCCAATATTTTCCAAAACAAATGCAAGGTTTGTGCGCATCAATGTTTCAGTGAACACCATATTAAAACTAAAAAGTGCACTTTGGATTAGATACGCCTGCACCAGCTAAAATTTGACCATCTGATCTGCTTCATGATTTCTTAATCCCCATTATCTACCCCATGAATCATATGCAGCTCGCTTCTGTCACTAAGGAGAAGAAATCTTGGATTAATGAAAGGAAATGCTGACGTGGAATTGCACATTTCTTTTTTTTTAAGGGCCTGTAATTCTCATTGATCACCCCACTCAGCTACATTTTATCCTCTCTAGCAAAGACAGGAGTCTCTACAATGCCCTGATCATGTCAAGTAGGCTAGTTTTCCAGATAGACATAGCCCGCCTGCTGGTCTGGGAATTTGGGGAGCTGAAGTCCACACATCTCCCAGTTAGCAAGTATGAAAAACCCTGGCCTATACTGTCTGAGGTAAAATAAGCAAATCCCCTTCAAATTTCCAGCTTAGATATTTTAACATCTCCATCTTTAGAAAGTCTCGGTCTCTTTTCATATTTAGCTAATATTTCTGACTTACGGTAACACCCCACAGCTCAGAGTGTCTATTCCAGTGGTGGCGAACCTATGACACGGGTGCCAGAGGCGGCACTCAGAGCCCTCTCTGCGGGCACGCACGCCGTCACCCCAGTCCTAGGCCTTCAGCTGCGTTTTATAAAACCTTTTCACTTTAGGCCTCCGCCACCATGTCCCCCCCCCAAAAAAAGTTCAATCAATCAGTCAATTTCAACTTCTTGCAGGAAAAAAAAAGATCTTGCAAAGTTGGAATTGATTGATTGAACTTTTTAGTCCCACCCAGTCTGCTGTTACACTGCAGCCACGCCCACCCAATGGGCCACACCCACCCGGCACCCAACGATGCATAAGTGTGTTTTGGGTTGCAGTTTGGGCACTCGGTCTCTAAAAGGTTCACCATCACTGGTCTATTCCTACAGAAATCACAATTTCCAGCATCTTCTTGCCTGATGTAGCATTATGCCTGCGCACTATTTTCAGAGAAGACTATTTTTTTTCCCTTTTTCATTTAGAGGTTTGTTTTGTTTTTGTCTTAAGCAGAAAATATCTCAGGCTCCAATTCTAACAGAGAAGTCCACGGAACAGGAGTCCATGTTTCTTGCTTTTCCAGATTTCTCTCCAATTTCATATTTCTGTGTGGAAATCTACCAAGAACTTAATACACCACCTCATCTAATGCCCAGGTAAAACTGAGAAAACAAGGAAGGGGGCTGGCCTTGTCCGACACCCAAGAGGCCAACGTGAGTGAATGCAGCCTACTTTGAGTTGGGTGAATAATGTGGGAAGTCAGTCCCCCAGAGAAGGAAATATTAAAAGGGCAGGAAAATATATTTCCTCAAAGGATCTTAAAGAGGCAGAAAAGCATGCCCAGTTTTTTTTTAATAGCCCCAAGTCTCCCTCCCCCAAGCAGAAACCAACTCTGTGGAAAAACAGATGTAAGCCATTCAGGAAGGTTGAAGCTAGAAGATTACGAAGACAAAAACACCTAAAATCTACATACCCCATCCAAACTCTAAGTCAGGACATAATAGCATTAACTCACAGATGCCAAAGGCACACCCAGACTCAGGTCAGAATACATGACACAGGAAACACAAAGCCTCAAACAGGGAAACAACTCTAAACAAAAGCCCCAGAGGGTATAAAAACCCACTCCCTACATGTGCTCACTCTCTTTTCTTCCAGAGCCATCTTCCTGTCTGGCTCTCCTCTTCAATAAACTGCAACCGTCTTTCTAAAGCAGTCACCATATTGTTTATCCCCGGCTTGGACTGAAACACGATGAAGACTTTTCTTCCAACAAGCTGCTAATATATATATATATATATATCAGCCCCCATTTATTGTCCCCAGAAGCCACCCAGACTCATTTATGCAAAAAGGAATACCTGGGTTGAAACTTGAGAGCTGCTTCCTGGTATCTGAGTGAGATGTTCTCAGCATATTCAGTAGCTGATGCCGCTGTTTTCTTCTGGCAGTCTGAGAGCCAAGATCCTGCATTTCCCATCTCCTGTTCAAAGAGGGAAGAGCAAAATAAAACTACATTCGAGCAAGTGAGAGCCAGAGTGATGGTGACTGTCTGTTTTAGGAGGGGAGGGGAATTAAATGGGAAGTGGGAGGAAGAGGATGAAGAGGGAAGTCAAAAATTCATCTTCTGCTGCTTATTACAGGTAGTCCTCTATCTATCATTATCATCTATCTGTCTATCTATCTATCTATTGTCTGTGTCTGTCTATTTATCTATCATCTATCTATCTATCTATCTATCTATCTATCATTATCCGTGTCTGTCTATTTATCTATCTATCATTGTCAGTGTCTGTCTATCTATCTATCATCTATCTATCTATCATTATCAGTCTGTGTCTGTCTATCTATCTATATCTATCATTGTCAGTCTGTCTGTGTCTGTCTATCTATCATCTATCTATCATCTATCTATCATTGTGTCTGTCTATTTATTTATCTATCTATCTATCATTGTCAGTGTCTGTGTCTATCTACCTATCTATTTATCATCTATCTATCTATCTATCTATCTATCTATCTATCTATCTATCTATCATTGTCAGTCTGTGTCTTTCTATTTATCTATCTATCTATCTATCTGTCTGTCAGTCTGTCTGTGTCTGTCTATCTATCTCTTTCTCAGTCTGTCTGTGTCTGTCTATCTATCTATCTATCTATCTATCTATCTATCTAATCTATGTATCTATCATCTATTCATCATCTCTATCATCTGTGTCTATCTATCTATCTATCTATCTATCTATCGTCAGTCTGTCTGTCTATCTGTCTGTGTCTGTCTGTCTATCCATCCATCCATCCATCCATAATCCGTTTAGTGACTGTTATAACGACACTGACTTATGACTGTTTTTCACACTTACAACCATTGCAGCACTGCTAGAGCCACGTGATCAAAATTCAAAAGCCTGCCAACTGACTCATATCTATGATGGTTGCTGTGTTCTTGGGTGACGTAATCACCTTCTGACAAGCAAAGTCAATGGGGAAGCCAGATTCACTTAACAACGGTGTTACTAACTTAAAGACTTCAGAGATTTACTTAACAACTGCGGCAAGAAAAATCATAAAATGGGGCAAAACTCACAATTGTGCTCATTAAGACGAGGACTACCTGTACAAATATGAAGATGACAACCTAAGGGCTGCAGAACATCCTGACGTTTCCTATTGTGGGAAGTCAGCCCCCCAGAGAAGGAAATATTAAAAGGGCAGAAAAATATATTTCCTCAAAGGATCTTAAAGAGACAGAAAAGCATGCCCAGTTTTTCTTAATAGTCCCAAGTCTCCCTCCCCCAAGCAGAAACCAGCTCTGTAGAAATGCAGATGTAAATAATCCAGGAAGGTTGGAGGCCCCCAGCTAGAAGATTAAGAAGTAGCAAAAAAACCTAAAATCTACATACCCCACCCAAACTCTAAGACAGGACATAATAGGATTAACCCACAGATGCCCAAGGGACACAGGTCAAAATACATGACACAGGAAATACAAAGCCTCAAACAGGAACAGGAAACAACCTCAAGAGCCCCAGAGGGTATAAAAACCCACTCCCTACATGTGCTCACTCTCTTTTCTTCCAGAGCCATATTTCTGTCTGGCTCTCCTCTTCAACAAACTGCAACCTTCTTTCTAAAGCAGTCACCATGTTGTTTATTCCCAGCTTGGACTGAACCATGATGAAGACTTTTCTTTCAACACAATTCAGCAGTGGGAATTTTTTTTCCTCCTCTAACTTAAGATATTTTGGTTCATCTTGCCCACACACTTGCAAATATCTCTTCACAGCCATATTGATGTTACATTTTTTTGACATGAAGCCTGAGACTTTGAAGAACACATACGCTTCTCCTGATATTAAATTCGGAGCTTTTTCTAATTTTTTTCCTCAGAATGAGGTGCTTTAAAAAGAGTGTTCCTTGCTCTGTGGGAAGTCAGCCCCCCCCCAGAGAAGGAAATATTTAAAAAGGCAGGAAAATATATTTCCTCAAAGGATCTTAAAGAGGCAGAAAAGCATGCCCAGTTTTTCTGTCTCCCTCCTCCAAGCAAAAACCAGCTCTATAGAAATGCAGATGTAAATAATCCAGGAAGGTTGGAGGCCCCCAGATAGAAGATTAAGAAGACAAAGACACCTAAAATCTACATACCCTACCCAAAGTCTAAGACCGGACATAATAGGATTAATTCACAGATGCCAAAGGGACACAAAATATACAGCACAGGAAATAGCCCCAAACAGGAACAGGAAACAACTCCAAACAAAAGGCTCAAGAAGGTATAAAAACCCACTCCCTACATGTGTTCACTCTCTTTTCTGCCAGAGCCATCTTTTTGTCTGGCTCTCTTCTTCAATAAACTGCAACCTTCTTTCTAAAGCAGTCGCCATGTTCTTTATTCCCGGCTTGGACTGAACCACGATGAAGACTTTTCTTTCAACAGCTCCACCTACTTAGAATATTTTAACCTCAGTTTTAGTGCCGAGGTTGAACATAAAGAAGTCAAATCCTCCCAGAACACAAGAGATTGTGTCACACACCACAGAGTGACAGCAGCAAAATTCCCCTTTCCTGACTTCTATAGGGCTGCTTCCAAAGATGGCATAAGTTTCAGAGAGATATTGATGGGAGGATAACTATCAGAAAGGTCAACTCAGCCCGTGTAACAGTTGGAAATGGCATTTTGTGTTACACAGCAGGAAAGGCTAAGAAAGATTAGCTGTCATTAATCTCTCTCCTTCACTTGGCTAACAAAAGACTATAAGCTTCTTGAATCACAACAGCACTGTTTAGACTTTAAAAAGCAAGAAGACTTTTTAAAATTGCATATGGCCGCACTAAGAGTAGATAAAAACGCAAACAAGCTTGGTACAGAAAGCAATCAATCATGGCATCTTTTTTGCAAAGTTGATTTTCTCAGATACTTCCCACAATTAACCTTAACAGGGAACGACAATCTATCCACACACAAACACACTCATACACACAAATCAGAATTCCAGCTGAGTAGAAAAACTGCTGTTTACTACTGAAGAAAAGAGACTAAAATGTCCACCTATACACAAGTCAATGGCCAACCCAAAATGTCTGCAGAAGTCTTGTAGTCTTAACAGGTTTTTTAAAAAATGTTCCCGTCTCATCCCAATTGAACTGGAATGTTTAGAGACTACATTGTCTTTGTTTTCAGGATTTATTTCAAGCTTTTTCGCTGCATTTACTGTATAAGGAAGGCCTGGAGCAGTGGTTCTCAACCTGTGGGTCGGGACCCCATTTGGGGTCGAATGACCATTTTGCGGGGGTTGCCAAACAACACAGTCCGCCATTTTTCCCCCCTTTTCCTTAGCTGTGCTACTCCCTTTTATTCTATTGGCTTTTGAAAGCCAATAGAATAGACTCTCTTGAATAGAGTCTAATTCCATTGGCTTTCGAAAGCCAATAGGAATTGTCCAGGCTGTCTCTGCCCTGCTGAGCCCGCCAAAAGTCCCATTCTGCAAACAGTGCTGCACCAGTTGAGTAGTCCTCGACTTATGACCGGTTGAGTAGTCCTCGACTTACAACCGGTTGGGGGTCGCGGCATTAAAAAGGTTGAGAACCACTGGCCTGGAGGAACCTTGTCCATGAGGTCACAATGGGTCGGACACGACTTCGCAACTAACAACAACTGTACAATGCCCCTCCCCCATACCAGAGAACACCAGCCAATCTTAGAAATAAAAATAATAATCCAGAGGCTTTTCTTTTATTATTGATGAAGCAAATTACCTGATTTTCTTCACGGTTTTTCCCATTTTCCGTTTTCGTAAGGGATGTAGGTTTTCTGGATTTTAAGTTCCCCATGCCAATTCTCAGAGTGCCATCGCAGGGGGTCTGCGTGTCTTGAAACACTGCCTGACTTTCTTCTAAGACTACAGATTTGTCTGGGCAGTTTTCCTTGTTTTCATCTCTGGGGGGGAAAAAATCAATAAAAGCACATCTTTAAAAGCACCCTAAAGAATTTTAAGCCAGTAAAACAGGGAGCAAAATGGTGATGCTCAAAACAACACATCAATCATCAAGGTTATTTGAAAAATACAAATTTCCCTTTTTGGATCTCCTAAATGGGCTTTCCCATCAAAGTCACCAAGCCAACAATAAAATGTCTTTATATACCATCACTTTTTTACGCAGAGGGTAAAGAAATCTCAGACTTCAAGGATTAACTACTACAGCCAACTAATGCAAATTTGCCAGATTTTAAAAAAAAAAAATTCTCCTGGGTTTGCTGTTGTGTGTGTGTGTGTGGCTTTGGAATTAACAGTGGGTTTTCACCCTCCAGGTCTGGAGCCCAGCCTGAATAATTATCCAGACCAATACCAATAGCACTATAGCACTTAGATTTATAAACTATCCCATAGTGCTTTACAGCACTTTCTGAGCAGTTTACAAAGTCAGCATCTCATCCCCAACAATCTGGGTCCTCATTTTACCGACCTCAGAAGGATGGAAGGCTGACTCAACCTTGAGCTAATCAGGATCAAACTCCAGGCTATGGGCAGAGTAAACTTGCAATACTGCATTCTAACCACAAGGGCTCCACAGCTCCATAGCTTGGGAACGTCATGCCGTGCCTGATTTCAGTTGTCTGGTTCATCTTCCTTTAGATAAGGTTTTGATCCATTTTCTGTTGCCAAATTGTAGATAGTAGAGATACGTCTTAAGTCCCAAATGTGTGGATGGTGCTCATCTCAGCCTTTTTCAACCCGGCTGTCTCCTGTTTCGCAGCCAGTCATAAATGCAGTTGTTGGGGTTTCAAGAGCTGTAGTCCACCAGATTGCAGTGAACGATGTCATCCAGCCTTCTCTAATAATTAAACCTGCTTTATACAATATAACCAATAACCATTCCTCGTTTCTTTAATCATCTTCTGTAAGAATTTGACCCTTGTTCTTTGTCTAACACAGGGGTGTCAAACTGGCAGCCCATGGGCCGCGCCCACTCCAGCTCCGGCAATGCAAAAAAAAGTTTTGATACATCACGACACGTCACGTGACACAGCGAGTTTGACATCACCAGATAAAAAGAATGTGGCAGGATTTTTTTATCTCTCTCTTCCCTCCACACGTTACACACTCAGTCGCTATTCTTTATTTACCCTTGAAATTTGATATAATTCCTGTTCATTTACACAGCTGCATCCTCTCAATCTCTGACTCAGTTCTTGTATGAGATACCGCTTAGCAATAACCATAGCACTTAGACTTATATACCGCTTCACAATGCTTTACAGCCCTCTCTAAGCGTTTTACAGAGTCAGCATATTGCACCCAACAATCTGGATCCTCATTTTACTGATCTTGAAAAGATGGAAGGCCAAGTCGACCTTCAGCCGGTCAGAACTGAATTCCTTCTTTCTCCTTTATCTTTAAAGTCAATCTATCCATTTTTGCATGCTCTAGAATTTTCTTTATTAGTACTTCTTCAGTTGGTAAGTTTTCATTTTCCCAATGAAAAGCATTGGAACATGGGAAACTTTTTATCAATGGCTAGAAAAACGAGTCAGAGAGAAAGGAAGGTGATATGTAATTTTGAATTTATATTAGTAAGAAGAAGGCTATTGAGTGATGAATTATGCTGTTTGCTAACTAATGTTATTTGGAAAAACCCCAATCCTAACCACAACCCTAACCCAAACCCCAACTCTAACCCCGACCCTACCTTACTCCTAACCCAGTGGTTCTCAACCTTTTTAATGCCGCGACCCCCAACCGGTCGTAAGTCGAGGACTACTCAACCAGTCGTAAGTCGAGGACTACTCAACTGGTGCAGTACCGTTTGCAGAATGGGACTTTTGGCGGGCTCAGCAGGGCAGAGACAGCCTGGACAATTCCTATTGGCTTTTGAAAGTCACGAGTCATAAAAGAGTCAAGATTGCCTACCTCTGGGCTATACCGTTCAGACAAGTGGCTGTCCAGTCTCTTTTTAAAAGCCTGCAGTGATGGAGCACCCACAACTTCTGAAGGCAAGTCGTTCCATTGGTTGATTACTCTCACTATCAAGACCACCTTCGATGTAAATCTGACCCCAGACATGTCACTGCTTAAACCACTTTGCCAGGTCTGAGAATTCCCATGGGACTTTTTTCTTGAAAATTTCTAGGAATGTTGTCAAGTCCTACTTAATGGCCATGAGCATCAGAAGTTTGGCCTTCATTTTTATTAGAGATTGTACAGTTAATTTGAGCTGTACTAGATGATTTTCTTCAAAATCTTAGATTTCCACTTGGAAATACAACATTCCCATGTTGGGATCAGTGGCATCTTTGACCAAGGCAGGAAGTTAGGTACAAGATGTTCAGAGGAGAAGATTAAGCTTCCCAACTTCCTCCGAAACAAATTCAAAATAAATTTTAAAAGAAAACTGGAAGGTTGATAGAGCACAAGTCCAGAGCTTGTGAAGAAATCTCTTGAATTCATTCTTCTTTCTCAGCATGGGAAAAGTTTAAGGAAAGGCAACCGAGAGCATCGCTCAGGAGCCAAGATGAGGATGAGGCATTACCCAATGGAGGACAGTGCTTGGGAGAGGCTGCCACTAAACTTGGATGTTGTATTCAGAGATCACGACATAAACCTAAGACTAAAAATCAGGCTTGTCAGATGCTATATTTTTTTCTATCCTGCTCTATGGAGTAGAGAGTTGGTCTCTGACAGAAGGCCACCTGAAGAGACTAGAAGCATTTGAAATGTGGATTTACAGGTGGCTGTTACGTATACGCTGGGTTGACAAGATCAGAAATGAGGAGGTGATAAGCCTCCTGGGAAAGCCAAGGGAAATCATCAGAACAATTAAAAAATGAAAATTAGAATATTTCGGACGTGTAATGCGACACCCAGAAAAATACGGCATACTCCATTTAATCCTCCAGGGAAAGACTGAAGGCAAACGAGGTCCAGGCAGAAGAAGAACATCGTGGCTTCCAAATCTAAGGGACTGGTTTGGACAAAACTCAGCAGCACTTTTTCGTGCGACTGCTGATAAAAACAGAATTGCCAACAGGATCGCCAACATCCGATAATGGATATGGCAGGAGAAGGAGAAGGAGAAGGAGAAGGAGAAGGAGAAGGAGAAGGAGAAGGAGGAGAGGAGGAGGAGGAGGAGGAGGAGGAGGAGGAGGAGGAGGAGGAGGAGGAGGAGGAGGAGAAGGAGGAGGAGGAGGAGGAGGAGGAGGAGGAGGAGGGAGGGGAGGAGGGGAAGAGGAGGAGGAAGAAGAAGAAGATGAAGAAGAAGAAGAAGAAGAAGAAGAAGAAGAAGAAGAAGAAGAAGAAGAAGAAGAAGAAGAAGAAGAAGAAGAAGAAGAAGAAGAAGAAGAAGATGATGATGATGATGATGATGATGTTGATACCCTCAGACAGCCTCAGGCTTCATTGTTTTTCACTGCCTTGCCCTGCTTTCTGAGAACATCAACATGGGGGCTACTTTGGGTTTCCGGAAAGTGGTGGATCACACCAGCTCCATATTCAAAAAGGAGGATTAATTGCTTCCTTTCTGCATCATTTTCCTAATTTGACCCTGCGGTGGAAAAAAACAGCTAAGAAGATCAGGAAGATCCCTAGGCTTTCCTCTTGGAGATGGGAGGTCTGGGCGGCCACCAGGTCCATGCCCTGCACTGTCCTTTGGGGGTCCTCCTGCCCCACACCCTCCCTTGTGCCTCAGAGCCACAAGGCCCCCAACACACACGTCAGAGCCACAAGGCCCCCAACACACACGTCAGAGCCACAAGGCCCCCAACACACACGTCAGAGCCACAAGGCCCCCAATACACACGTCAGAGCCACAAGGCACCCAACACAAGGCCCTCAACACAACACATGTGATAGACTGCCACTGAACACAGAGGTTCTACTGTTTAAGATAATTAACTCTATCTATTATTCTCAGTTAAATACAGGTACCCAGACAATACGCTCTTTGCTAAATATTCTGACCCCATTTTATCCCTAACCCTATTAAAACTAATAAAAATTATTTTTAACAAAAAACCATAGAGATTCTGTTGGAATAGGGGCAGGCCTTGAGCTGCAGGTGGGCCAGAAGCGGCTTGACTGATGAGAACTGTTTTTTTGGATCCCTCTGTGCCAACGCTGAGCTACGAAAAGGACGCGGCAGCTCATTGGATCTCTAGGAAACCATCTTCGCCTTTCTTGGCTCTTCTGGTTCCCAAAAGGGACGCAACCCCCCCCCCAGGCGAGGCTCCTCCTTCGGCTGAAGGCCCCTTCTTTTTTGCCCCCCTCCCCGCCCCTTCCCCCGAGCTTCTGCAACACACCGGAGCCCACCTGGACGGACAGACGGATAGACAGACAGACACCGGCACTTGGGCTGCGGAAGGACCCTGGACAGCAGCCATGTAGCCCCGATTCCTCTCCAACTAGGCGACTGCAGCTTAAGGGAGCCTTCCCCAGTTGCGCCCTCCCAATTCATCGTCTCTTCCTTTTCCCATCCTCGGAGCTCCTCCGGCGCCGCCACAAAGCCCGAGCCTGCCGAGAGCTGCCCAGCTCCGCTCCTGGGTCCCCGGGGCGCAAGGCTCGAGCCCTCCGCCTCCCTTCGTCCCCGGAGCCGGCGGGACCCGTCCAGCTCTCGCGCGCGCCCTGCCCACCGAGCCAGCAGGCCGGTCTCCCACCCAGCCAAACGCGCCCAACCGCGGCACTTACTCGGGCAGCGCGGAGCTGCCGAAGCTCTGGGGCTGGACGCTGAAGCAGAAGCAGGAGAACATGGGCGCGGGCTCAGCGCGGGCGGCCGCCGCCGCCGCCACCTCCCCGGCTGCCTCTCCGCGCCGGCAGCCCAGCCAGAGGCATGGCCGGCCCCGGCAGAGCGAGCCTTTCACGCGCCGCTCGGCCAGCTCTCCCAGCGGCGGCCCGCTGCTCGGCCGGCTCCGCACATGCTCCGCGTCCTCCCGGCCGCTGGGGGGCCGCCGCGCCGGCCCGGCTTCTCCTTCCCACAAGCAGCCCGCTGGGTCTCCGCGCCGCCCGCCTCGGGCATCTGGCGAGGGCCGAGCTCCGGGAGAGTCGGGCGGCTCCGGCCGAGCCTGGCGGGGAAGGGCGGGCCGGGGGAGGCACGCCGGCGGAGGGAGGGACGGAGAGGGCCCTGCGCCAGCGAGGAGGGCCGCGCCCCGGCCGTCAGCTCTCCAGCAGCTACAAGGGGAGGGGTGGGGAAGGTGGAGGCGCAGCTGCTATCCCCAGAGACGAGCGGCACAATTGTGTCACACACACACACACACACACACACACACACACACAGAGAGAGAGAGAGAGAGAGAGAGAGAGAGAGAGAGAGAGAGAGAGAGAGAGAGAGGCAGACAGACAGACAGACAGACAGACAAAAAAAATCCCAAGAAATTAAAAGACGCTCCTGGGGAGGAAAACTATGGCAGAGGCACCACCCTGCCAACAAAAGTACGTATAGTCAAGGCCGTGGTTTTCCCAGTTGCAATGTATGGCTGTGAAAGTTGCACCATAAGAAAGGCTGAGCGCCAAAGAATTGGGGGCTTTGAACTCTCTGAATAGAAATTCAGATTGTATCTGTTTTTTTTTTTTTTTAAGCCATCTGATTTCTGTTTTCTTTCCCTCAGAGTATGGCCTGAAAAGGGAAGGTGGCTTTGTATTTGTCCCAAATGGCTAGCCGTCACAAAAAGTAAGCACACAATATGTTCAACGTACTGGGGAGGATAGCTATGGCAAATCTAGACAGCATACTAAAAAGCAGAGACATCACCCTGCCAACAAAAGTACATATAGTCCAGGCCATGGTTTTCCCAGTTGCAATGTATGGCTGTGAAATTTGAACCATAAAAAAGGCCGAGCGCCAAAGAATTGAGGCCTTTGAACTCTGGTGCTGGAGAAGACTCCTGCGAGTCCCCTGGACTGCAAGGCGATCAAACCGGTCGGTCCTAGAGGAGATCAACCCCGACTGCTCTTTAGAAGGCCAGATTCTGAAGTTGAAACTCAAGTATTTTGGCCACCTAATGAGAAGGAAGGACTCACTGGAGAAGAGCCTGATGCTGGGAAAGATGGAGGGCAAAAGGGGACTACAGAGAAGGAGGTGGCTGAATGGAGTCACTGAAGCAGTAGGCATGAGCTTAAAGGGACTCCAGAAGATGGTAGAGGACAGGAAGACCTGGAGGAACGTGGTCCATGGGGTCACCATGGGTCGGACACGACTTCGCAACTAACAACAACAACCCCAGAAAGAAGGCTGGAAAGCTCTGGTGGGCCCCAGTAGCAACCACCTTGTGCCAGAGTCCTTTGGGAGGGCAGCAGTGGAGCTGTTTCCAGACTGGCCCAGCCAGCTGCTTTTTTGTCTGGTCCTTTGGGTCTTCCAGAAGAAGCGCCCCCAATGGGACCTTAGGTGAGCAGGTGTCCAGGGAGCTCCGAGGCTGCGGTGCCCTCAACAGCCGGCCGCTGTCCACCCACCAAGGTGCTGAAGGTGGGCTTAGGATGCTTCATAGGCCAGAAGCAGGGTGGGGAGAAAGGGAAAAGTGAGATTGAAGAGTAAACCCGCTTGGGACGGATTATCTCTGAAGTGGGCTGAGATCGTGAGGACATGCCCTCTCCAAATGGCTAGTAGGACATCTTCATGCCAAGAGTTACTGGGGAGGTGAGGATGAACCCAGTGGACACAGGGTTTATATTGCTGACTCTGAAACAGATGGGTGAGGCTGAAGGATGCTGCCCACCATTTCTGTAGGAAGAATCTACCAGAACTTCATTTGTGTCTCATGAAAGAACAGAAAAGGGAAGGGAAGGGAAGGAAAGGAAAGGAAAGGAAAGGAAAGGAAGAAGGGAAGGGAAGGGAAGGGAAGATGAAAATAATGATAATAAAACCCTGTTTGTTCGAGTGATTGATTCCCATGAGTTGGACACCTCAAAAGTTTTCCCAGGCTGGTTTATCCCTCTGAGCATCCAGAAGTGGGGTTGGAACCCCCCAGCTTGGGAAGAGCCTTGGGAAGGCCAACAGATGGGTGAAGTTACCCCTATGAGGTTGGGGATATTTTTTTTTTGCAGGTCACTCTTTCTCAGCCAACCCAACTCACAGGGTCATTGCTGTGGGGAAAATAAGAGGAAGAAGGTGTGTTGGATACATTCGCTGCCTTGAGTTATTTGTAAAAAATAATAAAGGCACAATACAAATAAATCAAATCAAGGTCTGCAGAGCTCAGCCACCATGCTGAGAACAGGCTTTACTTTCAACCTAATGCACTCATTTCCTTTTTTACCGCCCCCCCTCACTTGTTCCTTCTTCCAAGAACAGCTGTCTTTGTTGTGAGGAAGGAGGGAGGCAGGGAAGGTAGCTGTTGCTGTCAAGGCAGCTAGCTTGGAGTGACATCAGTGGGACTTCCAGAAACAATAAGGCTTTGGCAACTGTTAGAGAGGCTGACTTCTGGTAACAGCCCTGGTGATGTTCATAGGGCAAGGAGACCGTGCCTTGGAGAAGGATATTTTTTGCATCAAAAGCCCATCTCTAGTTTGCCTCTCCTTTTCTCCTCTCTTTTTCCTCTAGGCCAAGGGTAGGCAGCCTTGGCTCTTTTATGACTCGTGGACTTCAACTCCCAGAATTCCTGAGCCAGCCATGCTGAGGGGAAAGGGAGAGTTTCCAAGCTGAGCCATGCTGGCTCAGGAATTCTGGGAGTTGAAGTCCACGAGTCATGAGGGAGGCATAGTTGCCTCATGCTGGCTCAGGAATTCTGGGAGTTGAAGTCCACGAGTCATGAGGGAGGCATAGTTCCCTCATGCTGGCTCAGGAATTCTGGGAGTTGAAGTCCTCCCATCGGCCAAGGATGCAAAACATTAAGTCTAGATCAGGGGTAGGCAATCTTGGCTCTTTTATGACTTGCGGACTTCAACTCCCAGAATTCCTGAGCCAGCCATGCTGAGGGGAAAGGGAGAGATTGCCAAGATGAGCCATGCTGGCTCAGGAATTCTGGGGTTGAAGTCCACGAGTCATAAAAGAGCCAAGGTTGCCTACCCCAGGCCTAGATGATAGGAACCTTGGCTCTTTTATGACTCGTGGACTTCAACTCCCAGAATTCCTGAGCCAGCATGGCTCAGCTTGGAAACCTCCCATTTCCCTCAACATGCCTGGCTCAGGAATTCTGGGAGTTGAAGTCTATGAGTCACAAAAGAGCCAAGCTTGCCTCCCCCTGCTCTAGAATATATAATCTCCTTGGGACAGACGTAAACACGGGCATCACTCTTGGCTGCTGCTTGGGCACCTTCTCAGACCTGTTGCCATTTCCTCTGCAGCAGGACTGGGCCTGGCCTTGTCCAGAACCACAAAGGGGGCAGACTTACCCCAAGGAGCTGCAGTGGATGGGGATCAAGCAGCTGCTCTGCTCCAGTTGTCTTTCTCTTCACTGCTCTGTGGTGCAGTGCTTCTGTGAGAGCAGGATGAAACCACAAGGCCATTCCCCACACACACACACACACACACACACACACACACACACCATGCCAACTTAATAGAAAACAAAGGACTAGCTTGGTTTGCTTTGGCAGATGTGCTGAGCTAACCTGACAGATTTGATGCACAGTGATGTCATTGCAATCCATGACGTCTCATTGGGGGGACGTCAAAACATTGACAGAAATGGAAACTATAAGCTGCAAACTGCTATGAATGGCAGTGAAATAGAAGTGGAACTGCCTGGTGAAACAGCCACTAAAGAATGTTTTTCCCTAAAGCAAATGAGGACTTCCGTCTTTAGCAAAATACATTTGTAATCAGAGGGAATTAAATTTTCGCTCAGCTTGTTCAAAGGCATCCCAGTTGATGGTAATGAAATACATCTTCCTTGAGGTTGGGAAGTGCAGGGATAATTCCTGCTAAGTCTTGGAGATTTGCTATTGAACTTGCAAGCCATGGTTAGTATTGATTGCACTAATCGCCTGTGCGCATTTGATTTCCTCCAGAACCAACTCTACTTTTTTTTTATGAAGAAATTTTATTGGTTTTTTTCATTTTTACATAAAAGTGCTTGAGAAACAACGTGGTGATTGGGCTATCAATTATCCAAGAACAAAATCATACATATATCACACAGGTTAATTTCTTAAAAGTTCCCTCTCTATTTCCCATATATTATTTTACCAATTAAAATTATTACATTTGTAAAAAAAAAAAAGCTCAATCAATCCAATCAGTCATCAATCACGTTTATTTTTTTTCTTTCTTTATTTTTTTTTAAACCAACAAAACAAAACATAACACACATACACACATAGTGTATACTCCTCCCTTTTTTTAACAGCAATTTCTTAATGATAATCTTCTATTATTTACATTTTCCCCCCTTATTCTTCTTTAAAATATTTGTCCTTGTTACCCCGTTGTTTCTTATTTGCATTTTTCTTCCTTCATACTATACTTCATACTACGAATAATACATATTATTATTACTATACATTACTATACACACATTTTCCACTTTTGACCTTTCCACATTTATTCTCCTCTATTATTTCTAGTCTCCAACCAGTCATACCACTTGTTCCATATTAGATAGTATTCTGTGTCTTCCTTTTCTTTTATCTCTTTTGTTAATTTGTCCATCTCAGCACAGTCCAGGATTTTACTTCTTCCTCTGATGTATATTCTCATTTTTCCAGAACTGTGCATATGCTATTCTTGCTGCCATTGTTATAGGTAGAATTAAGTACCATATTTCTTTACTATATTTTCTGTTTAAAATACCCAGCAAGAAGATCTCTAGTTTCCAGTCTACAGGTTGGTCTATTATTTCTTTGATCCATCTTCTTATTTTAGTCCAGTATTTTTTCACAACTGGGCATGTCCACCATAAATGATAATATGTTCCATGTACTTTTTTACATTTCCAACATGTTGGTGAATTGTTCTGGAACATCTTGGCAAGCTTTGCTGGTGGGAGATGCCATCTGTAAAACATCTTCAACTGGTTTTCCTTGAATGCCATTGACATGGTCAATTTTATGTTTATTTCCCATATTTTTTCCAATTTCTCCAATTCTATATTATATCCAAAAAATTTTGCCCATCTAATCATCATTAATCACATTTCAATTATAAGAATCCAAGTCCTGTTTTTAAGCTTTACTATTTTGAAAATTACCATATTCCAATTAAGCTTATATAGACATATTAACACTTCAGGCATCCCTCATTTCTCTTTTCCCTATCATGGTGATCTTATCTAAGATAAATATGTTATCCCAAAAAGCAACATCCTTACATTTTTTTAGATATAGCCTATTGCTTAAACTAATACATCATTTATTAATACTATGACTTCTCTTATCACAAATACCTCCTCTTCTCCCTCTATTACAAAATAGTTATCTTGGTTAAAATAAAGATATCAGTCCAAAAAACTACATGTCTGTCTATTTTAAATATATATTCTATCGATCAATTAAGTAAAATTTACCCCTCCAACTACTTGTCATCTGTAATACCAAATATTGTTACAAAAAATATCCTTTTACAAAATCACCTCTTTCATTTGTTATTAAAACAATCCAAGTGTCAACAACCTTTTTAACCCATTCAGTGGAATTTTAAGCCACATTTGTAAACCTAACTCTAGCTTTCTTTCTATGCCAAACCGGTTTCCATAATAAAGCCTCTGCATCATCAAACCTCAACATTTGAGTAAAGCTACTTCTCAATACATGAAAATAGTCAAAGTTCTCTTCTCTTTCTTCCAATGTTAGTAATAGTAGTAAAGTTGGAAGGGACCTTGGAGGTCATCTAGTCCAACCCCCTGCTCAGGCAGGAAACCCTACACCATTTCGGACAAATGGCTGTCCAATCTCTTCTTAAAAACTTCCAGTGTTGGAGCATTTACTGCTTCTGGAGGCAGGCTGTTCCACTGATTAATTGTTCTCACTGTCAGGAAGTTTCTCCTTAGTTCTAGGTTGCTTCTCTCCTTGATTAGTTTCCACCCGTTGCTTCTTGTCCTGCCTTCAGGTGCTTTGGAAAATAGCTTAATTCCCTCTTCTTTATGGCAGCCCCTGAGATATTGGAATATCAGGAGATGTTGTCTGAATAGTATGGTCAATTTTATTCCTTGAGAATCAACTCTACTTTTTAATGAGAATTTATGTTAAGTGAAGAGGAAAAGAAGAGGGGGTGAGGGACAAATTATAACGGTAATGACGGGCAAGAGAGAAATGATCTTTTGTAGAGACACCAGTAGTCCTTATCGTGGAAAAAAAAGGGTTCTGGGATGCACAAAAGCATGTCATCCAAAGGAACGTCCTGCTGACAGTTCCGTGGGACCTAAAACAGCTCTCTTTCAAATCACTTCTGGTGTTTCCAAGGCCGAGGCAGGTCATCTGCTTGCCCACTGTTTGCCACTGCTGTGATCTGGGCTCAGAGCTAAGTCCTCGGAGCAGGACTGGAGAATCATCACTCAAAGTTGACCATGGCTATGTTCAGCCAGGTAAGAGGCGCCAACAGAAGACCGGTTGGGGAGGGGGACTCTGCCTCCTGCACCTTCACTACCTCATCCTTAAAGTTGAGGAGGGATTCCTGAAGCAAGGTGTTTGGAAGTAGCTGCTGTAGATTTGTGCGCAGAAAGGATTTGGGAAGACGGCTACAGAGATAATATTCTTGGAAAGCCTGAGCTTTTTTTAGCAAGGTGTGAAGAAGAAGCATCCTCAGCCTGAAAAAATAACAGTGAGAAGAGAATCCCATTCAGAAATCGCCACTGGGCTCACATTCACACTCCCCCGATCCCTAAGGTATGCTATCACACAACACCAAGGCCTAGAAAAAAGCAGGTGTGAAGGTACAAAGCTGCCCAGAGACCTTAGCATCTTCCAGGCTCCTTATCACCTCTGAAGTTTTAATTTATTTTAGATTCTTTTAAATGAATCAATGTGCAAACAGGAAGACCCTCTGCTGCGAAGGGAAGCACCAGCTCCAAGCCATTATAGTTCTGTCAGATTCCTGGGCAAATTCTTACACAAGGAAATGTGATATACAGCAGTGGCCAAAATTGTGGAAACCTTTTGGGACAAGTGTATTTTTGAGGTTTGATGGCTAATAACACCACTTTTTGGGGGGGTAGTACCATAAAATTATATATCAATGGAAAGATAATTTAATCGAGAATGCAATGCAATATAGTTTGTTCAATTATCTGTACTGTATTCTATGAAAAGCGATAGCCAAAGAACCAGAAAAAGGAAGCACAACTTGCTCAGGTTGATCTCAGGTAGCTTTCCTTCATCTGATTGTAGCCAACGAGCATGAGTGTTTAGAGAGCCAATCAGGTGTCATCTTGTTTTGGCAATGAGCCAATCAGATCGCAGTAGGATTCAGTGATTGATGTCCTGTATTGAACCTGAAAGAAGGACATTGGTCAGTGTGTTATGTGATCGGTATCAAGTTGGTTGAGGGTTTTTTTTGTGTTCTTTCATTGAGTGAGCTTGTAAAATGTAATAAAATTAAAGTCATGGTGCAAAGAGTTGACTGGTTGCCCAGAAAGTGATGTAAAATAGTATTATGAAGTGAACAAGCCTACAATTATAAAGAAATTAGAAGAAAAATGGGTGGAAACTTAATCAAAGGTGGCATTTCTGCTGTACACTTTTCCCAAAAGGTTTCCACAATTTTGGCCACTACTGTAGCAGCAACTTGGTTTGGAAAGCTGCCCAATGACTGGGAAAAGAAAAAGAGAGAACTGTGTGGGCAGAGGCAACCTCAGTAGTTCACCTCCACTACATGGGCTGTGATTCATCACCCCCATCATGGCAACTACTGTAGTTTTCAAGGGTGCTCCTGAGAAGGTTCCCCAAATTTCAAGTGTGCCCTCATCCAAACCTCAGACCCAAAATGTTGAAGATACCTAGATGACAGTTGTTTTTGTTGTTGATAGTTGCGAAGTCATGTCCGACCCATCACGACCCCATGGACAACGTTCCTCCAGGTCTTCCTGTCCTCTACCATCTTCTGGAGTCCATTTAAGCTCACGCCTCCTGCTTCAGTGACTCCATCCAGCCACTTCATTCTCTGTCGTCCCATTCTTCTGTTGCCCTCCATCTTTCCCAGCATTAGGCTCTTCTCCAGTGAGTCCTTCCTTCTCATTAGGGCTTGAGTTTCAACTTCAGGATCTGGCCTTCTAAAGAGCAGTCAGGGTTGATCTCAAAGATGAAGCAATTTTTTAAAATCTTCTTCTGGACTGTTTTAAATAGAAAATTGTACAATGCAATATTTCCTTAAATTGCTCCCGAATCAAATAATAAATATCAATGCATTAATTTGTCCGAAAGTTGAAAGATTCAATTTTCTTAATTGAATGTCCAACTGGGTCTGCGAATCTCATCCAGCTAAAAAATCAAAACTTTCAGCGTTCCTTTTGTAAACAAACAAAAAAAAAATCTTAAGACCCCCTAGAACAGAAACTCAACCATCTCTTTTAGATTTTGGCAGATGGTATCCATGATAAAAGATCTCCTGGGGCTGCAATGGAAGCCATTGCTGGCTGATTGGGCTCTAAACCCATAAAATGTTTTCTCCATACATTTACTCATCTCTTTATTCTGATTGTCATTTCAGCCACTGAATTCCCGTTTTTGACATCCGTTTCTTAGAATGAGCAGAAGTCGTGCCTGTTTGCTGGCCTGTTGGACAGTGGAAAAAAACCTGGATGTTGGGAGCAATTTAATGAGTGGAGGGGTGGGGGTGTATCAGGATGTACGCCAGGAGAAAAATTATGTTTCGCTGAGAACGTGTGACTCAGAGGCACAGAGAAACATGAAAATTGGAATAGCCTGAGCGAAGGCAGCTCTCTAAAAATACTCAATAAGTCATTTCTCTCCTCATCTTCTGAGGTTTTGCCACCAGCAACCTTCTTAGATTTCCCTGAGGCACACCTGGCCAGTCTACTTTCAGTACACAGCTAACAATGGCCAGATCCGTTGAATTAATTAGCCTTCCTCTGAGCCAGCAGCTCCTGGGTTTCTATGTAATTTCATGCCTCATTTGTGTCCGGCTGAATTGACCTGCTTTATTTCTGTTTCTACAGCAGAAGGTTTTCTCTGTTATTGTTGTTGTTGTTAGCTGCGAAGTCTTGTCCGACCCATCGCAACCCCATGGACAATGTTCCTCCAGGCTTTCCTGTCCTCTACCATCTTCTGGAGTCCATTGAAGCTCACGCCTCCTGCTTCATCCAGCCACCTCATTCTCTGACGTCCCTTTCTTCTATTGCCCTCCATCTTTCCCAGCATTAGGCTCTTCTCCAGTGAGTCCTTTCTTCTCATTAGGTGGCCAAAGTACTTGAGTTTCAACTTCAGGATCTGGCCTTCTAAAGAGCAGTCAGGGTTGATCTCCTCTAGGACTGACTGGTTTGATCTCCTTGCAGTCCAGGGGACTTGCAGGAGTCTTCAGCAACAAAATTCAGCTGGTGACCTTCTGTCACAGACTCCAAGCCGTGCAGTGTTTCTTCCTCCAATCTAATATAATCCATTCCTAACTTTAAGAGAACTTGTGTGGCCTGCAAGAAAGAGGCAGAAGGGGAGGGGAGGAAATGCAAAATGACTGCCCTCTTCTGATCTATATATTACCGGCACGAACGAGACATACACACCAAATTATGTAAAGGCTATAGAGGAAGGAGCAATCCATCATCTCAGCGATGCCCTGAAGAACAATAATCAGTCTCTGTGTTCATTAATTATTTACCACATAAAAGCGTGATGTTCCACCAGGCAAAGCTCGCTGGTATTTCTTTAAGCAAAAATGCATTACGGACTCAGCCAGTGTCATGTTTAGCCCTGCAGTTCCCACCTTACTTTCACAAGACCATCACATCTTCCAAGATGGAGCTATAGCCCAAATTCTCGAATCCCGGGCATATTTGTTCAATGATGCAATCTTCGATCTCCGGGAAGAGTATACTCCAGTTATTTATTGTTAAAACAACATTTAAAACAATAAAAACAGTTATATACAAGATTAAAACAATTTAAGATTAATACAATCTTGTATATAACTGTTTTTATTGTTTTAAATGTTGTATACTCTTCCCGGAGATCCGGGTTTTCTCCCATGTAAAATTGGAAGTGTCTTGGCGACGTTTTGATGAAGTCCCATTCGTCATCTTCAGGCTGGTGTTTTTGGCTTCATGCTTCTAGCGAACCAACTTGATAGCGATCACATAACACACTGACAAATGTCCTCCTCTCAGCTTCAATACATGACATCAATAACTGATTCCTACTATACTGACTTCCTCATTGCCAAAACAAGATGACACCTGATTGACTCTCTAAACACTCATGCTCATGGGCTGCAATCAGATGAAGGAAAGCTCCCTGATATCAACCTAAGCAAGTTGTGCTTCCTTTTTCTGGTTATTTGGCTATAACTTTTTATAGAATACAGTACAGATAATTGAAACTATGTTGTGTTACATTCTTGATTAAATTATCTTTCCATTGATATATAATTTTATGGTACTACTCCCCAAAAAATACACTTTTCCCAAAAGGTTTTCACAATTTTGGCCACTACTGTGCATACATGTCCACCTCATTGTTCCTTGTCAGGGAAAGCCCCGTTATGCAAAGCATAGAAAAGCTGAGCTGAAGCACAAATCATTGCCCTGATCCTTTGCCTTCTGCCCTGATTGGAATGTTTGGAATTGGCAATCACAGCATCCTGGGGAGCTTGCAAATTGGAGAAGGTCGATGTGCGCATTTTGAATGTTCAATGTTTCTTTCCCAAGATTTGGCCCAAATCCAACTTGAAATCCCCCTGGCAGTTTTAAGACTATCTTATTGATTCCAAAGCATGAAGGGGAGATTTGTGTACGCCAAATACAGTGAATCACAACTCACAACAGCCCCGGGAGCAAAGCCAAGAGCAAAGATGCTGAGATGTGCAGTTGATTATCTTCAGGAGAGTCAGACATTGTTCATCCCTGCCTCAGCTTTAGTCTGTGTCAGCATGAAAGCTGTGTCGGTGGTATGAAGAAGCAGCCTATTGTACGTTTGCTTGAATTTCTGCAAGTAATCACATCTCTGCACATTAAGATGGCAAGTCACTCCCATGGATGCTTACAAGAGATGGCCACTTTGGGAATCTTCTGAAGGACAGCAATTAGCAAGAAAATGCACCTTTTTCTCGGGCTTGTTTGTTTAGCATTTGTTTTATGGGAGAAAGAGAAGAACACCCAGCCAAAATCTTGTTGTTGTTGTTAGTTGCAAAGTCATGTCCAACCCATCGCGACCCCATGGACAACGTTCCTCCAGGCCTTCCTGTCCTCTACCACCTTCTGGAGTCCATTTAAGCTCACACCTACTGCTTCAGTGACTCCATCCAGCCACTTCATTCTCTGTCGTCCCCTTCTCCTATTGGCCTCAATCTTTCCCAGCATTAGGCTCTTCTCCAGTGAGTCCCTCCTTCTCATTAGGTGGCCAAAGTACTTGAATTTCAGCTTCAGGATCTACTGTGTGTACTGTGTGTAAATTCTCACCAAGGCACACAAACTGACACATCAGTTCATTTTTCAGAACTTGATGCCAGAGGATGCGAAGCTCCAGATCATCTGCATTGTGAAGACCTTTTCAATACAATTAGCCAGTCAAGACATATATTTAGCAGCAGCAAAATTCAAGACAGAGCAGGAACAGTGATGGAAGCTGTGAATGTTCTGTTCTCTATTTCTCTAGCGATCTCACCTGGCGCACGGAGGCAACCTGCAGAGCATCAGGAAGAGAAGTAAGAATTGAAATTAGAAATGGACCAACTGGATTATCCATTATCCAAAACAAGCACAGTATTTGATGCACAGAATTTTTTTTACTATCTCCAAATCTATAGATTTAATATCTATAGAGATAATTGGATTCCTAATGTGTTATTCTAGCAACAATACATTGCATACAAGTAAACTATTCATGGATTTATTTTGCCGGGCTGAAATTATGAGAGTTCCCAGGGCCTACAAGCAATTTAATCCATCTCTGAAGCAGGATATTACAGTCCTTCGGGGTGCCAACTTCTCATTTGCAAAATAAATGACAAAGATCCCAGCCAATTCTTAATGCTGTTTTCTTTCCAAAGTGTTCTGTTGCTTCCCTTGTTTATGTTAGGTCTTTGGGGAATCACCACTTTGCTGTGCCACTAAGTATAAAATGGTATCAAAATTGTATTATTTTAAGCTTCCTTGTGGGAACAATTTCAGAGATTAGGGGAATAGATTTTGCCTGGCTAAAGAACTGATCTTGTGAATAAGCACATAGTTTTTAAAGAGTCTTTTCCTTGATTTGCATGCAATCAACAGATTTAAAATAGTGATCTTTGTAAACCTCTCTATCCTTACAGCACCATGTATTAAGGAACTCCTTGCGTTCCTCATAAAAGTATATATTTTTTATTATTTTTCATCTTTGTTTTGTGATGCATTGCAGACTATATTCTTCACAACACATCTCTCCAAGGAATCTTATCCGTTTTTTTTCCAATTGGCAACCTGCTGATGAGTTGCAAAAATAAAAAGTATGAGGCTGTATTTTATTAGCTCATTGTTCCTCTTCCTTTAAGCTTCTCTCCCTACGCTTATGAAAATGGACGTGGGTGTTGGCACTGAAGGAAAATACTTCAGGGTCTGAAGGAATTTCACATCACAATAAAATAAGGACATGTTTTCTGATGCTTCTACCTGGCCTTATTGCTTAAGCCATTGTAGATAAATTTATGTGCTGATGTCTGCTCATTTGATAAGACTGGATAAACTACCAGGTGATATCATGACAAAACTAAGTTAATGTCTAAACCTGAGTCTGAACGTTTATTAACTTAAGTAAAGCAAAAAAAGGAAATTCTAGGAATGTTATATGTTGGAACTTCTTAAAAAACTTTCACTATTTTTAAATTTTAGACCAATAAAATGAACAGTTAGCTGTAATGAGCCCTGGAAGCTTGAGTTGACCCCCCCAAATGACCCATGGAGGCTTTGGTTGGCCACCAAAGAGCTGTAGAAGTTGAACCCCAAAACCCTGGAACTGGGTGTTCAGGCCAGCATCACTCCAGAAGTCTGAGTTCACTTGAAATGACTTCTAGTGGCTTGATTTGACCCCCAAATGAACCCTGGAAGCTTGAGTGGACCCCAGAATGAGAAATTATGTAAAGGCTGTATAGGAAGGAATGTTCCATCTTCTCAGCAGTACCCTGAAGACCAACAAACAGCTTCCATGATCAATAATTACCTTCTTTCTTCTTCTTCTTGTGCCATATCCATTATCGGACGTTGGCGATCATGTTGGTGATCCTGTTTTTATCAGCAGCCGCACGAAAAAGTGCTGCTGAGTTTTGTCCAAACCAGTCCCTTAGATTTTGAAGCCACAATGTTCTTCTTCTGCCTGGACCTCATTTGCCTTCCATCTCTCCCTGGAGGATTCAATGGAGTATTCTGTATTTTTCTGGGTGTCGCATCACACGTCCAAAATATTCTAATTTTCATTTTTTAATTGTTTTGATGATTTCCCTTGGCTTTCCCAGGTGGCTTATCACCTCCTCATTTCTGATCTTATCAACCCAGCTTATATGTAACAGCCGCCTGTAAATCCACATTTCAAATGCTTCTAGTCTCTTCAGGTGGCCTTCTGTCAGAGACCAGCTCTCTACTCCATAGAGCAAGATAGAAAAAATATATCTACCAGATAAAAATTATTATGTAGCACATCAGAAATGAATACATCTATCTCATTATGAATCAGAAAGGTTTGGCAACAACTTTCCTGATTTTTTTTTAAATTATGATTGATAATGTGTAATTTAAAAAAGAAGTACAAATGTGGCATGCAGGGAGAATTCATAAACATACACATTTTGTTGTATTTAATGGTTTCTTGGGTTCTTTGAATTAAGAGCCCTCATGAATCACGTTCTCTGGTGAGAACTCACAGCATATAAATATTAAATAACTGGAGGACTTCTGCTTCTCTTAAGTAATGACTGATTGGCCAAATTGCGAATTCTCTTTTGGAAGTCCCAACAAAAAGGGCTTAACATGTACCAACAGCTCTGGTGCCTAGGTTGATTCTGGTGCCCAAGCCTAGAAGACATCCAGAGCAAATTATATCTTTTCAATGTAGCTTCTGATACATCGGCCAAATTTCTTCTGAATCTGAAAGGCCACATCTGCTCAATCTCATTTGAAGTCTATTGGGTTGCACACAACCCTGTGTTGGATTTTCCCCTTGAAATAGCTTCCAGAAGGGGCTCCATCAGTTCTTTTCTGTTGAACCACATTTTGCCATTTTTATTTATGTCTTGGGCAAATTCGAGGTAGACCGGATCTGTGGATAATGTCATTTGTCGACTATAATTACAAAATCCATCCATACTTGGTATAAGCACACCCTTGACTCAACACTCTTGAGCTCAGGATTTTGTTTTGAGCATCCGATCTAAGCTGAGCTGAACTTTGTTGAATAATAATCTGTCTCTTGCAATAAAAAAAAATTACCCTGCTTATCACAAAGCAGGAGAGAAACCAGAGAAAGCCTTCAAAAAAAAAAAAAAAAGCCCGCATCTGAATGTTCAATTCATAGTTCTTCCTGGAAGTAAATCTGATTGTTTATTCTGTCCTCAACTCATGATTATGTGCACACACCCAAACAAGCGCACTTTTTACCCCTCAGCTTGTCTGTTCAGTGCTACGCTGATAAATTGCTAGTTTTAAAATGGATTGCAATGTGTAATTAGATTATGCCTATTGTGTGAAGGAGCAGACTGAGTTGTTTTCTGCTACAGGACAATCTCTACTTCCTACCATCTGCGCTACTGAGGCTAAACATCATGTCATCACTTGGCACTTATTTTCTCTGAATAGAAATTCAGATTGTATCAGTTTTTTTTTTAAAGCCATCTGATTTCTGTTTTCTTTCCCTCAGAGTATGGTCTAAACAGGGAAGGTGGCTTAGTATTTGTCCCAAATGGCTAGCCGTCACAAAAAATAAGCACACAGTATGTTCAACATATTGGGGAGGAAAGCTATGGCAAATCTGGACAGCATACTAAAAAGCAGAGACATCACCCTGCCAACAAAAGTGTGTATAGTCAAGGCCATGGTTTTCCCTGTTGCAATGTATGGCTGTGAAAGTTGGACCCTAAGAAAGGCTGAGCGCCAAAGAATGGAGGCCTTTGAACTCTGGTGCTGGAGAAGACTCCTGCGAGTCCCCTGGGCTGCAAGGCAATCAAACCGGTGAGTCCTAGAGCAGATCTAGCGTGTTGGTTCTGCCACCATTGAGCTAGGCCATCCCAAAAGAGAATGTCCATATCCATTCTTCCAAGTTCTTCTCAAGAGAGACCAAATTTTTCCAGTGTACCCTGGCACATTGCAATATACATTTTATTCAAATAGATATAAATCATGGTCTAAAATTGATATGATATGGAGATCCTCGGAACTTAGCGCGATGATACAAGAAACAGAGATAGAAACTACCGTATTTTCCAACGTATAGGACGACTCGGCATATAAGACGACCCCCGACTTCGGTGCCAATTTGCATACCTAGAAAGTCATCTTATATGCTGGAAACTACCGTAATTTCTGGCGTATAAGACGACTTGGCATATAAGACGACCCCCGACTTCGGTGCCAATTTGCATGCCTAGAAAGTCATCTTATACGCTGGAAACTACCGTAATTTCTGGCGTATAAGACGACTTGGCATATAAGACGACCCCCGACTTCGGTGCCAATTTGCATACCTAGAAAGTCATCTTATATGCTGGAAACTACCGTAATTTCTGGCGTATAAGACGACTCGGCATATAAGACGACCCCCGACTTCGGTGCCAATTTGCATGCCTAGAAAGTCATCTTATACGCTGGAAACTACTGTAATTTCCGGCGTATAAGACGACTCGGCATATAAGACGACCCCCAACTTCGGAGCCGATTTGCATGCTTTAGAAAGTCGTCTTATATGCCGGAAAATACAGTAATATCTGGGCAGATCACAATCCAATAAAGATGACTTGGAGAGGAGCCAAGAAAAAATTAAGATGGTCCTTGAACAAATCTATATGAAAAGAAAAAGAATTTATACAACTAGTGACAAAGGAAATGGACTTCTTTTTTTAAAATAAATAAGAAAGAAGAGACGTCACTTCAAAATGTGTGGGGCACAGCTAAAGCATATTTCAGAGGGCTGGCTATAAAGTATGCTGCTACAATGAATAAAGAAAGAAAACAACGACAGTTAAAGTTGAAGGAAGAATTTAGAAAATGAGAATTAGAAGGGCAAATAGACCCACAAAAGAAAATACTTAAGAAGCAAGTGGAGATAATAAAACATAAACTAAACTTAGTAGAGCCGGAAATAATGGCTCAACAGATGAAAAGGGCTAAACAGAACTTTTTTTGAAAATGCCAATAAACCGAGGAGATGGTTAGCATATAGGCTGAAAAAAGAAAAAGAGAAAAAAAAACGATAAACAAGTTGCAAGACCCAAAAGGTGAATTACAGCTTCAAGATGACACAATTAAACAAAATTAGTAAAGACTTTTACGAGATATTTTACAACGCGGAGGAAACTTCAAAAGAAAAAACACAGCCGTACCTAAAAAAAGCAGACTTACCAAAAATCCCAGAGAATATTCAGAACGTATTAAATGGGAAAATATCAACGATGGAGATAACAGAGGACATAAAAAGGCAAAAAAAAAAAATGATAAGAGCCC